TGTAGATAATAGGCTCTTTAAGTGAAGCCGTATCTGTCAAAATCATTTGAAAAATCCCTCAGCTTTCAAAAAAATGACAGTAATTAAAATCCCACAATAACAAAGAAAATTTTACACTTAAAACGTTCATCATGTTGATTTGAAACCTTTCACAAAAACTGCAATTCACAGCTTATTTCCATTCGAAAAAAAATTAGGCATTTTCATTTTAATTTATTCGATTGTTGTTTTTCCCTTCATCGATTTACATTAGCCTCAAACAAAAAATACGCATTATTCAATCATTATAGATAATCAAATAGACCCATTATAAGCCCTACAATTTCGAATCTTTATGCATCGTCATTATTTATGGTAAATGTGTGTAATTGCTGGACACTTCAGAAGAAAATCCACAAAAAAAAGTATCTCAATTACAAACATAAACACTCTTAATTGAGTTATGAAATCGAGGCTGAACTCTTTTTTTTTCTCTTCAAATTTAACTGTATTTTCATCAAATAAAGTGCGTTTGGGCCAGCTTGCATGATATGATTAACACATTGATAAATTGCTCAATTATAATTCATATTCGACCTCGTAAACTTTCACTGTAGTTATAGGCAAGTAAGACGCGTGTGCCCTTTCTATTTCACACGTTTATTTGTCACATAATGTGAGTGCCTGAAAAAAAATTTTGTCACATTTTTTACACGTTTGGCTGTTGGCACATTTTTGCATTTGCAGACTGGATTTTGTTATTTAATAATTTCTTCTTTTTATCTTTTTTTTGGAATTTTGCACGTGACTATTTTTGTATTGTTTATTTTAAAAGTGTTGATTGAATTTTTTTTAGGGCGATAACAACTTTAATTGAGGCTCAAATAATTTTTTAAAAAATTAAAAATTGAATTCTCTAAACAAATGTTGTTAATATGATAAGGGGCCGTTCACTTATGACGTCCGAAATTAACGGTCATTTTTTAAACATAAACAATAGATTTCCAGGAATTTCTATTTTTCTTTTCTTGCTGACCCCCCCCCCCCCCCCTGGGCGTCATAAGTGAACGGCCGCTAAGAAAGTTTAAAAATTTAAATATTTTACTATATTAATTTTTGAATAATAAGCTTCCTCAAAAAGACAAACTCATTAGTACCCACACCCTGCAATAGATTACATTATTTTAATACTCAACATACACATTTTTTTATTTTCTTCTTTCTTTTATTGCTTGTGGGCCGTTCATTTATGACGTCTAGAGGGGATGGGGGGTTCAGCAAAAAAAGAACAAAAGAAATTCCCTGAAAATTCATTGTTCTTTTTTGTAAAATGAATGATCGTTCCTTTCGGACGTCATTAGTGAACGGCCCCTTGGAGCTGTTGTTTTTTCGCAACTCAATATGAGTAACCGGAAAAATTGTTTTAATACCCAATCGAGATATCTGTAAATGAAGCAACACACAAACGTGCTCGTAGAAGAGAGAGAAAAAAATATGTTGCACGTTGGAAAAAAATGCGAGTTTGCTAGCTATAACCATGTGATGGTTTAGAGTTGGACTCTATTTTTAATTATTTCATATTCTTGTCGTCATATCAATAATGTGTGTTACTGCTTGATTATTTAACAATGGTATTTTATAGCAACTGTTTTATCGAAGTGATCGATGGCTTTTTATGGGATAATTGGTATGTATTGTGTCGTTAGTGCTGCAAATGGCACTTTGTTGCTATTGAAGACTGAAACTTATTTTATTCTGCTCTATAACTTGAAGCTAATACTTAAGACCAGTGTTGCCTAAACTTTTTGAGCCAAGGCATACCTTAGGGGTAAGCCATGACCAAAGTCGCACACAGCTACAGCTAGTGTTATTTTCAAAAAAAAAATCTACAGCACACAGTTTGGACAACACTGCCATAGACACTCCACAATCCTAACAAGACAATCGAAAATGTTTGTCGATAAATTCTAAAAATGAGGAAAAACCCTGAAGAAATTTATTTTTCATGTGATTTTGGCATAAAGGTCACACTAGATCTTATTACAATATAATACAAAAGAATTCAAGATTTATTTTTGGTTATTCCTACATTGATATAATCCAAAGCTCCTTAAATTCTATTAAAGAATTAAAATTAATTAATTTCACTTCCACGATTATCTCAAACATAACTTCATGTGCTGAAGGTCAAGTAAATTAATCTCCTCAGCAAAAAAATTAATCCTCATTTGGACAAATCCACTAATCACTTAATTTCGCATGTGACAATCTTGTCTGCCTCAAAGCAATTCGATCTCTTTTTTACCAGACTTATTAATATCTTTTGGCAAGCAACCTAAATATTTCTTTATATCATAAAACTCTTATAGTCTTTGGACGTGTCACAACTGCTTAAATGTTAATAAGTTATCTCTTTCCATTTTTAGATTGTATAGCTTCACGGGAGGATTTAATTTCATTTTTATTGCTCAATATAATGTTGTTGATGTTTCGAGGAATAAAATGCTGATAATGATGCAATGGTGAGTGGCATGTAAATGCTATTAAATACACAAATGGTGAGGAGTCTTTTACATTTTTTTTTGCATTTTCTGTTGGCTGCATGGTTGTTTATATACCGCGACTAGCCGGTTATTTAATATTTTAGCAATGTTAATGGGTTAGGAGAACAGCTTAGTTTAGAAAGGTAAACAAGATATTTGATAATCAAAGAACTGCTTTATTATATAATTTGCTGATTTGTTCTTAAAATGAATGAGAATTTTGGCTAAGAAGAACAAAGCTTGTCAATTTTAAAGCTTGTAGACTTGTTGATTTTGTTGATTCTTCGTCATGTGATTAGCAAAAAGCACTAGTCATGATAATAAATATGAGACATAAGAATTTGATTTGCTAGCTTTGAAGCCGGAAGAACAACGAAAAAAATTGTTTGGCAAATAATTTAAGTTAAGCATTTTTGGAACTATATCGTGAGTTTCTATGCTAAAATTGAATATTTGGTAGATAAAAATGTCAGATGGCAATGAATATTTGATTCTAAGCAGGAAGTATTTGTGAGTTTTAAAATGATGGGTTTTAAGCCCATAAGTTTATATTATTAAGATTAACTCTTGAACTTTCAATAGCTTTTTTTTTATAAAAATCATCGCTATTATATTCATTAAATTCAATCATCAATTCCGTCTTTGATTTATACATTCAACGTGACTTCATGGATGCACACCAACATTGCACTTTTTTTTTTAATACTTTTTTGCATCATACATTACAGTTTAGAAATGAAAATTCATGCAATGTAATATGTGACATAATTATTGTTTACTTTTTTCTTCCATTTTTTGCTTTCGTTTTAATGACTTTTTTTCAACTTTATTTTGCCGCTACTTTTAACTTCAATTGAATTTGTTTGTAAAACTTCAAATAGATGATTTTTTGACGAGAAAAAAAAAATTCAATTACTTTTGGACTAACAAGTTGATTATTTGTTTTACGACGAGTTATGAAGACAATTGAGTAAATTGGAGAATTATGAGGAGGAAATTAAGTCGGAATTTCGGGTGTTGTTTTTGATATTGTTGGTTGAAGAGATTTGGATTGAATAATAAAATTGGGTTAGAGTGGATTGGAATTTGTGGATTATGGATTAGTTGATCAAAAAAGCTAGCTTATAAGTTTAAAAAGCTACAATTACTCTTTTCATTTGACACTCAAATTCTGATCTAAAACACAAAATTCTAAAGCCACTTCAAAAGACATTCCAATCAAAAATTCGCCATATTGCAACCTCAAGCATTCCTCACGAAACAACAGCAACAAAAATCAATAAAACTCCCAAGCTTTACCGCTCATTATTAAACTAATTAAACCTCTTTTATTTTACATTTTCATACTCTGATTTTTACTCCGATTTCATAACAATTGCAAGCTTTAAATTATAAATTGCGAATTTGTAAGCTCATTGATATTTCTTTTGAAACATAAAAGAGCATAAAAATTGCATGAATTTTATTTTTTCAATGGAGATCACAATCAAATTTATTATTTTTATAAGAAGAAAACTAATAATGGAAAAAAATCAGATTTATTTATTACTCAATCGTTCATAAAGAATGAATATTAGTGTCAAATTATGAGAAATTAATGTCAAATTGTCGGCAAATGGAATGCGATTTTTTTATTGATTTTGTTTTTGGGGTGATTCGTGACTTAATGGTTTATTTGGTTTGGAATATGTTGTTGATATTTTTGAAGTTATGAAGTTTAGAGCTAGCCAAAATTGTACACTTAAATAAGAGACCCTACAGAGCTATCAATAAACATGCAAGCTCAAAATTATATTGATTTGAGGGTTGCAAACAAATGCAATTGGATTTTTGACTCTACTCCAGCCAATAAGCTTCAACAACGAATGAACCATAAACTTCAAACAAAACCTAGCCAATAAATTAATTAAATATTTTAATTCAAAACCCCAATAAAAAATTTTAAAATTTATGTCAAAACATTGCAAACTTCCACAAAAATTCACCGAAAATTTTTCAACCTTAGCATTTGAAATTTTTCGTCATAAATCGAACGAAAGAAATATTTTTGGTGTGATTTTGAAACAAAATCTAATTTCAATTTCAAATATAGTTTCAGTTTCATTGGCCATTGCCAATAATATTTCATATGAAGTATCAACATTGACTGCAGTAATATTCACATATCTACACTAATAACACTGAGCAATCGCTCTATATTTCATAGCTTAACGTCGTTTATTCACTCTTGGGCAAGTTTTTTTTTCAAGCATGATTTGAGATATTGAAGGTTGAGCAATGCAAAATGATTCAATTAATTATGGCACTTTACACACTTTAAAAAAATTTATTTGTTCATATGAGAGGGCTGGTCGGATGCCAATACCGCAATAAAAATTTATGTTTGAGGTGCGAATTTTCACCGCAACAATTGTTTCTATGTGTATACAACAGTCGCTAATTATTATTTTCAATTGTTTTGATTTTCTTCTTTTTTACCTTTAATTATTTTCGGCTTCCTGAATTTTTTGATCGGCTTTTATTAAATTTTGAATCTTTTTATATATTTTTTTTCACTTTTTTATTGCTATTCTTTGAGATTTTTGCAAATATTTTTAAAATTTGAATTTTTTAAGGTTGTCCAAAAGTTTGAATGATTTCTAGAATTGAATAAAAGTTAAATTTTAATGAACAAATTCAAAAATATTTGCAAAAGATTTTGAAATTTTCAATTTTTTTCTCAAAATTCAGCAATAAATTCTTTTCACTTTTTAAAAAAAATTAAAATTTTATTTTCAAAATCAAATTTTTCAGAATTCACTTTTTTCATACATTATCAAATTATTTTTTATTTCACAAATTCGAATTATTAATTTCAAATTTTTACCAAAATTTTTCTAATTTTGCTTTAATTTTTTTAAAAAAAATATTCCAATTTACAATTCACTAATCAACAAAAAACTCCACGTTGTTCTCGATCCGTTGGATTCTGTACGATTGAGCAACGTCTAGTCCGCAATTTGATTATCTTCATCATTACATTCTAAAATATCCTTCAACATTCAGTCAGAAAAAACTGAGATAAATTCGCTCCCGAGCGTCAATAAAATTAAATATTTTTTTTTTTCAATTTATTCTCCGTTTCTCGGTTTTTTTTATTTTGTATTTTTGTTGTCATCCACGCGATCGCCTTCACATGCAACTAGCAACTGGCCTCATAGTACCGTGAACAAAATGTTCACTCGATAAAAAATATAAATTGTTAAGTTTTTTTTTTCTCTACTTGCTGCTCTCTCACGAAGTGAGTAGATTTTCTTTACATTCATAGGTGCTGTGCATGCAAAAGCCGACTGTTGACTCAATAGACAGAAATCATTGGGTTGTGCAGATAGGAAATATTTGGACAAGTATCATGAATCAATATTCATGATAATTTAAATGACATTTCGTGAATAGATACTGTAGGAAGCATAAACTTCTTGAGAAATATTGACCTTCTGTATGAGTACTTAAATTATTAACGAAAATTACTTCTGTGTGCTTTAAAAATCATTAAAATATTAAATTTAAATTGCTTAATTTTATTACCCACCTGTCAATTCAGAAATATTGATTTTTAAGTTTTAAGCAATTTCATATCGAGAAACTTGAAGTTTAAGATGCTTATAAGTTGAAGGTTGTTCAATTGATTAAATTGTTGCAGCTTCTTAGTAACTGACCTAATCTATAAACAATGCACAATGAATGCACAACTGCAACAAGAATGTCAAAACCTTAATGTGACTAGATCATTTTGTGTCATTTCAACATCAACTTGAACATCATTAATAAATTTTCAAGAAATAAATAAATTAATCCCATCAAATCACAAACAAAAATTACAAAAACCACAAAAAATTCCAACGATCTAATCTTACCTACAACAACCTCAAATAAATCTCGTCTAAAAATAACAATTCGACGATTTCAGCTTCAATCTCTCAAAAAAAAAAAAAATCAAAACAGCACCAAAAAGTGAGAGTCAAAACCTCATTTTTCTCCCAACTGATATTATTTAATACAACAGCTGAGCATGTTGTTTATAATATTGTAAACTGGAATTTGCGTTCGGTCTGGACATTATTCTTATTACTTAATTCTCCATAATGAGATTGAATTATTAAGATTAAAATTTTATTTTGTTATTTTGATGATTATTGATGAAAAATTATTTTTTGATGAGAGAATTGAAGGCACTAAGGTTTTGATCGGATTATTGACGGTAATAATTATTAAGAAGCTTTAAATTTGTATTTTTTGGTTGTTAATTATATGTATTTTTTTTGTAAAAGGTTTTAATGATGTAAATTTTGCAAAGTTTTGTGAGAATAATTTGTTCAGTTAAATGTCAAAATGTTAGCTGATTAGAGAGATTTTAAGACTTCAAATCCAAAATTAGGTCAGTGTGGCATTATTGCGAACTGCATTTCAACTTATCTTACCCAAAAATCCACTTAATAATCACCTCATTTAACAAATTATTTAAAATTATCTCAACGAATGCCATCAAAAAAGAAATTAAATCTTCAAAAAAGTTAATTATTGTGACACAATTTGACATCGTCCATTCAAATTTTTATATAGCAAATGCCATCAAGATGATTCAGCAGCTCATTGTGTCTCTGACTTAAAATGGATTATAATTGAAAAAAATCATTTCTTTATTTCTATTCACTGATTTAATGATTTGACTTCTTTTTCTGTCATTTGAGTCTGAAGTCAGTTAGGCATTGGAAGCATCTTGTAAGTAATTGTGAGCCTTTTGTTGCAACTTTGAGCAGATTTTTTTTTTCATTTGTTTGTGTAACTGAAAAAAATGCAACTCATGTCTTTGTTTTGAGGGTTGTTCTTGAGTGACGTCTCTCCAAAAATTAGAATGTAATAATCTACGATGATATGAAAGACCCTCGATTTGCTAGCCATAAAATGTTAAAATTCAATTTTTTCTTATAAATTGTAATTTTTCTCTAGATCCTCAATGACTTGAAATTTGACATCGTGTCCATTTCAATATCTACTTGCGACCATCTGTTTTATTACAAATTTTCATTTCAAGTGTCGTAATTTTTATCTTCAATCATAAAATTGCAATAAATGATGCAATGCCTTTACATTCTCAATTTCAGACATCTAAAAAGACATGCGGATATAAAAAAATTTAATAGTTGCACATCTTTATTAAATTTTGTTAAGAAATGCTAGGAAAAAATTCCATGACATCTAGTCCCATCACCTTAAAATAACAATTAAGCTTTTTGAACATTCACGTGTTTTTAAACTATTTCAAAAGTTTATTGAAAAAATATTCACAAGCACATTAAAATTTAATATTGAAAATTGCACCACAAAAAAGCTTAACATATGCAGCACTGAGCTTTGAAAAAGAACGAATGTCGAGGATGTCTAGTCTTAAATCTATATATTTATTTTTTAAAAAAATTCTATTGAAAATGCAATAAAATTCACTCTTCAATAGTTGAAAAAAAAAAATGAAAATCGTGAATTGAATATTAAACAAACTTATTCAGCACAGACCTTTACCAACACACAAATGGTCAAGTTAATTAGTAGAACTTTCGTGACATCCCGAACACGATTAAAATGATAAAACCTCAGTTTTTAAGGAAGAACTTTTCCGTATTTCACTCCATAAAGTTTTTTAAATTCGTTGACATCGGAAGTATTGAAAATGAGGAAAAAGTCTTTATTTATTTTATTTTTTCTAAATATTTATCAAATTAATTGTTCCTGTCCACCACCTGATCCAGAAGTGTCATGTTTCTCGCAGCAAGATTTTGATGAATTATTTTCAAACGAAACAGTTTCAAATGATCTAACTGAGCAAATTCTACTCAATAGTGTTGGAATTAATGGATTTTTACTTACTGAAGACAATCCAGTGTATCATCATTTTAAGACTAATGATATTGATGAGTTTGTGATACAACAGAATCGATATACGACAATCATCATAAATACTTTACAATTATTAAAATCCAGCAGAAACTATACAAAAAATCAATTAAGGAAGTGCTTGAAAAATATTGTTCTTCCTTCAAATCTTCCAAGTTTAACACTAAACTGCGTTCCTGGAAAGAATAAGTAATTATTTTTAAATCTACTAGTGAACTAATTGAGTGTTTTTGATAAGAATGTAGCTGGTTAAATTTTCAAAGGGATTAGGTTGAGATCAACTGGCTGGTTCTCAAAAAAATCCAGCAGATTAGCCTATATAAGGGAAACTTAAGTTGTGTGTGTGTGTGAGTGTGACGTTTGTGACTCTTTCTCAATACAATTATTCAAATCACTTCCTGATAACTAATCCAAAAACCTTCAGTTACTATCGTCTAGATGGTCAATGTAATAATTTAAAAAATCCTCTTCGCGGTTCCTTGTTCACGCCATTCCTTCGATTAATGGAAGATGGTTATGATGATGGCTATGAAACCGTATCAAAACTTAGGAATGTAGAAACTTCACGATCAGATTCAAATGTTGCAAACACAGCTCGTGGACTTAATGAAAATCTTTCGCCTGAAACTTCAAGTGATATGTCGACAATGGCATTTCAAATTCTCACACATGAATTGATGATGACATTAAAAGTTCAGGTTTGTAGTTCGTGACTATCTAAAATTTAAACGTTGATAAGAGAACTGAGGAATAATAAACACAAGTTCCTTTATAAAATAATATTTACAGCTTCAACCTGAACATCATAAAGGAGGCTTTGACTGTTGTAATTCTGCTGATAATCCACTTTTAGCTAATTTAGTGAAAATCAATAAATACTGCATGCCTATATATATCCCAAATAATGATCCATGTTATGCTGGAAAGACAAAATGCTTAAACTACGTTCGATCATTTAGAGCTTTTGATCAATGGAATATCCAGTCAGCACCATCTCAAGTCAACTTCCACACTCCATACATTGATCTTGAGCTGATTTACCACAATAAATCATTTGAGCATCTTGAGGAGAACAGTGGCTTATTTGATATTGCAAATGACACAAAAATGAATCAAATTCTTGTTGGATATGATCCTCGATCAATGCAGTTGCCTGGATTGTTCCTTTATTTATCATATTTCCTTCGATTGCACAATGAAATATTCAAGGAGTTCCGACGAATACGACCAACTGTTCCAGCCAGTACAGTGCTTTTTGAAACTCGTAAAATTGTCACAGCTGTTTTTCAAAAAATTTCTATCGACCTTATTATTTCTGTTATGGGTAAGTTGTTCCTCAAGTTCGGTACCAATGACTTTTTATAGCTTGGGTAAAGCAGAGTTTGTCACTATTGACGTCTGTTGTGTTCAGCAGATTGTTGTATTATTTACATGTTTGAGACTGAGACTAGGCAACAGCTGATGTTGCTAATGTAAAAAAAGTCACAGGTTTCAAACTAGGCTGGGTCTGGTTTTGGGTCTAGCTTGACTTGGTTAAATAAAATTTGAAATTTCAGATTTTGACATTCCATCACAAAAATGCTACGATCCTTCAATAGATCCACAAGTAAGTTTAGAATTCAGCATTGCATTCCGTGCACTTCACTACTTCATTCGAGACAAAATGGGAGTCTACGATAAGAAACATTTTAATATTCCATCCGGAATTCGAGGAAAGTTTCCAACATTAATCGATCAGTCACAACTTATAGAAAATTTCACAGAATATGAAATCAATAAATGTGGATTAATGCATGGTCTTGTTGATACATCATGGAATCTTGGTGGAATGGGCGACACAACTCGCTGTAAATTTTTCTCAACGGATTCAAAGAAGCTTGGAACTGACTTGCGATCAATGGACTTTCAATTTGGACGAGAAATGGGTGAACCATCATATTTGACGTTCCTTAGATTTTCTGGACAATTAAAAAAGTGTGATGCAGAAGTAAAAGCTTCTGACTTGTCAAATTCCTTTGATTCTGGAACATTAAATTTCTTAACCAAAAGATATCAAAACAAAATTCATGAAATGGGACTGTCAATAGGATTAGACTTTGAAGCCAGAAATGGAGCGATTTTAGAGCCTGGTGTGCAGTTCATAATCACAGATCAGCTTAAGAGAACAATTTGTGGAGATCGATTTTGGTTCAATCATGATAATGGAATTTTCACGAGAAGTAAGTAATGCGTTAATTTGAAAAAATCAACCAATCCTGAGTTGAATACTGCTTTATTTCAGCTCAACGAGACCGAATAAATGCAATGGATATGAATCAAATTTTATGCATAAATCACGATTGTAACAGCACAAGAATCCAATTTTTCCCATTTTTATCAGCTGGTAACAGCAATCGCAAAGCTGTTTGTCCTGCAACATCAGATATTATTGGACTTCTCGATCTAAAGACCTGGTGAACATCAATGTTAGTGGATAAAATTCTGTAAATTTGTCAAAAATATTCCTTAACTTAAAAGAGTTGGTGTTAAGTATGTGTGCGTAAATAAAGGACTTTACAAGCTAGTTATTGAAATTTAAAAAAGATTTTTTTATTAAAATGATTTTAAAATTGACATTTAATGAATAGGCAGCATAGATATTCACATTGCTAAATGGACTGTATGCGCGATTAAAGTGATCAGCGTGAGATGCATGAGTGACTGCTTTGTTACAATTTGTTTGAACTGCAAACAGGGGGATTCAATAGTGTGAAAAGATTTTTTTTAAAAAATCGAAGTTGAAATTCATTTTTAAAAAAAAAATGAAATTTTTTTAAAAAATAAAATTTTTTTGTGTTTTATTTTCAACATATTCTTACTCATGTTCCCCCTGAATCAAACCTTGTACTTAAATTGTGACTCACCTATACTCTCGGACAGACGATTTACTTTCTTCATTTTCATCTATTTTTGTTTTTGTTTTCCATTACCGTCTAAGGTGTGCGCTAAATGTAATGGATATATAATACTTCATACCTATATGGTTAATAATTTTTATCTTATTTAATTGGATGTTAAATAATCACGAGATGTGTAGTAGAGATGCGAGTAAATGTTAATGTCTGAGGCGGTGATGATGATTATGATTTTATGGCATGAAAAGTTCAAATATTTGTGGCATATGTAACAGTTCTGCTTCGTGCTTATTATAACATTTTGAAGTTGAAGATTTTGAAAATTTTGATTTTTTGTTTTTAATTTTTAAAATTTTAAAAAAAATTCAAAAATAAAATAAAAAAATAAATCGCTTCCTATCAACACTCTGTTTTGAAAGCAGTCAATACCATAATTACTATAAGCAATCGAATGTATACAACAAAAATTGATCAATCAATCAATCATAACTTTAATAAGCAGTTTAAAAGCGACCCTAAGTGAACAATCAGCCTTCAATAAAATATGATCAAATATTGACAAACCCACAAGTTTAGCGCTCAATTGAACTAACAATTTAATCTTGTTTGTGTCTCTGTGCAGCTGCAATTAAACATCTCAATAATGACCTTAGATTTTTTTATTTACTAGTAAGATGTGTGGATTAATATGATGCTTATTAAGTTTTTAAATGTTTATTTGTGGTTGTTTTTGTAATTATTTGACGACACTATTGAGGTTAATTAATTGAGTCTAGGAAATTATGTATATAATTTATCATCAATAGGGACAAGGATGAAATTTTCTTAAAAGCTTCTTTTTTTATGATTGTGAAAAACTGAGGGAGGGAGAATAAGTATTAAATTGCTTGCACAAAAAAAATTTCAATGCTATTTATTGAGCTTTTTTGTAGCTTTATTGAAAAATCAATGAGGAAATTTGATTAAACAACATTTATAAAGATAATGAAAAGTTCCTTAATGAATATTTGATTGGTGCTGTAAAATTAAAATTTTGAATATTTAAAATAACTGTGGTTTGATGATTGAAGGCAGATTAATGTGACCTTAATGTAAGTTCAATGTTTGTTCCAGTGCTGGAAATTATTTGTTGATTATAAATATTTAAATTTATCAACAGTATTGATTATTAAATTATTTTCAGCTTGGATGCAGTTTTAACGCACTTTTTTGGATCAAAGTTCACCAAGGAAATAAATATTCAGACCCCTGTCGCCCTTCTACCCTTCAAAAATAGTAGACACATGTCACATGTTTTGTCACAATTTTAAAATCATCTCCAAAAATATCGTGTAAATTTATTGACACCTGAAATCTCAAAAAGCAGGAAATATTGACAAAGTCATTTTTTATGGCTAGTAAAAAGTGCTCATGACAGCAAATATTTAAAATTTGTGTGGTTTGGCACATGTTGTAAACCAAAATCGAAAGTGCTGAAAAATAAAATTTAGAACAAGAAATTTTTTATGAATTTTTTGCACCCATAATCATGTCCATAAAAATTTATTAAAAGTTTGATGAGAATATAAATAAATTAAACAAAAACAGAAGGAGGTCATTCCATTTAAAAACAGAAAATTTAATGTCAAAATTTAAGCTATTAAAATAAAATTTTACAATCGCTCTGGTTCCTCTGTGGTCGTTGTTGTTGGATCAGGTATTTCAATTTTAAGTGCATTTCCAAAGAGTGGCTTGAAAATCCATAAAAATTGTGCTGTTCGACGTGATGTGTTCTGTTTTATTGTGAGTAAAGAATGGAATTATTGCTTTAAAAATTTTTATAGCTGAACTCATGAATTTGCTTTTGTTGGGTTAAATAAATAAGTCCAGCTGTGTGGAAATTCTCAAATACTATAAATTTAAAGCTAGGTAAATTAAAGTTTTAAAAATTGAAAGCTTTCATAAAAGCTTTTAACGACTTTTCGATTTTGATATTCATATTTTTAAAAGTTTAAATCTATTTGAAGCTTTTTTGCAGCTTCAAAAGCTTCCAATTTTAAAAGCTCAAGCAACAAAAGCTTTTAAAAGCTTGCAATTGTATGATGTATATCATCATTTAACTCACCATCATCAAATCTCCGATGATTTTCGACACATTCGTGACTGTATTGAATGAACTTCCAAAAAGCTTGTCCGGAATGTCCAGAGAAACCTTTAAAAAATGATTAAAATTATTTTATTAATTTACAAAGCATAAATTTCAAATAATTTTTACCCTATTTCTATCAAGATCTGGAATGTCATCAGTTGTGGTTTTCAGTGGTGGTCTTGTTGGTGAAAATCTATTTATGGCAGTTCGTGAAGCAGTTCCGACAACATGTGCTGATGCTGATGATGCCTGTTTAAAAGCAAAATAAATAAATTTCATTAAAATCTTGATTTTTCCAATTAAAAACAAAAAAAAGCTTTTACAAATTTACAACGAAAATTTTGATTTATTTTGTACAGAAAAGTTTACAGCAAATTGAAGCAGCAATTACACAATTAAAACTTAAATGTGCAATTTTCAGCGCAATTGAGTGTTCTGAAATTATTTTTTTGTGGGCTTCAAACGCAACAATCAGCAACAAAAAATAAAATATGTGAAAAATCGCACATAAATCAATTTACAAGTAAATTCAATCCGATTGTGTCTGAACCTCGTAAATTGTTATGGTTAATGCTGTAGGCATTAAAAATATAAATTAATAATTCTATGTAAATTGCTCCGATTAAAACTTTATTGACATGTCGAAGTGGATTTAATGGATGAATTAATTATTAAATGTACAGAAATTCACAAGATTAATATACAGGCATTTTAAGTTTGAAGTTGTCAAACTTTAAATAAATTGTTGAAAAATTTTGAAGAGCCAAATTTTAACAAAACTTTAATTTTTAATGCTTTGATTTAGGACAACTGATGAAAGTGCCATAAAATCATGCTTATTGCTTGTTGAGACTTTTTGGTTCATAAATTTTCATTAAAATTCAACCACAAAAACATAAAATTAAGTTCATAATGTTAACCAGAAACATATAAAGTTGGTTATTTAACAGTTTATGTCACGACACAGTCAAGTTCAATAGTTCAAAAGATTTTTTTTATGCAATTTTTTTATTCATTACATGATTTAAATTATATGTAAACTTTTTATGTCAATATTATGTGTAATGTTAAATTGAGCCACTTACAATGTTGCCTTATTAAGCCAGAAAAGTTTTGTTGTTGAAAATATTATTAAATGTTAAATTTTTTTATAAGAAAGCTTGAACTTAGTTGTTGATTTCAACAATTTTGAGCAAGTTAATTGAACATTCGGTGACCATCGGGTTCTGCCGATTTCGGTCAAAAAGCGGGACAGACTACAATTTGAAACATTTTTCAAGAAAAATAGGATAAAAAAGCGAGACTTTAATGATTTTAGGCAGGAGATTGCTCAAAAAATCGGGACTGTTATGCTCAAAAGTGCTCAGCTGGACAGACTAAAAATTAAGCTCTAGATTAAAGTGATATGTAGGTTACATCAGGCCTTTAGACGAACAATGTGCAGAGTTTGCAAGTGGTTCGGATTTCACTATAAATTGTAGATATAAAGCTTGTAGTACAATACATTCTGTTCTAATTTGAATCACAATGCCTTAAGCTCAAAAGGCTGGGCCCTCTCCATTGTTTTTTTTATAGTGATATGTGATCATAAAGCAAATTATCATTATCATCACTTGAAATGAGTTTTCGAAGTTTTAAATTTACGGATATTTTTTTTATGAAATAAAGTCGTGCTTGAGATTTTCAATCTCAGTAACATATTAAGTGCAATTTATTTGACTCTACAGATTTTTAAAATAAAATGCATTTGTAAGACTCAGATTAATTCTATTTAACGAAAAAATTGTCGATTGTAATTTTAAGTTTTTTTAAACACTTTCAAGACTGATTTTTAAATTTTTGCAATAAAACTCAAATTTGTTTCTTCATTATTCAATTTATTTGTCAAACTAATAATTTTATTAAGGTACACATTTTTTGAGCGTTTTGTAAAGTCGTTCATATTACCAAAAAACTGTTAAAGCTACACTTGAGATGCTAGTGTACATTAGTGTAGCTTGATTTCAGATAGTTCAGCAAATTTTGGTTTATGTGGACAACTTTGTATTTACTGTGAATTGTATTCTTGTTATTTACAGTCACAACAACCTCAGATATGTTATATAATTTGCAGCAAAACTATCTTAAAATCTATCAACTCACATTCTTGAATAACTTAGTTAAAGTTGAGCAAAAGAAGATATTTGAACTCATTTGCTTGTAATGTCACAAGACATGCTGTTGATTGTTCAAAATTTAACAAAATTCGGTTTTAAAAGTTATCAACATTTTAATGAGACTTTGATAATAATGAAGTTAATGTTTGTCAAACTAGATTTAAAATGATAAAATGTCACATCACAAGCAAACGAATCCCAATACAAGACATAGTAGAAGATAGAAAGATGAAGAAAGAATTTTCAATAAAAAGAGGAAGTGATGGAAAAGAATTTAAAGAACTTTGTGAGCATAAAATAGTTTGTGCAAATAAATCAAAAGAGGAAAATTGTGATTGATAGAAAATAAAGCAAAAAAAAGAAGTAAAAAGAAAATGCAAAATCAAGGAAAAAGTTAATGTGAAAAAAAAATCACAGAGATAAAAATAAGAAAGAATTAAAATCCATTTAAGGAGTTTCAGAGTGATGATGAAAAACAAGAAACAGTCAAGCAAGGTGCAAGGACAGTAAGGTGCAGTGATATAAATTTTAATTACACAAGATAAGATTTTTTTTTCTCTTTTAAATTCTTTTAATTAAAGTGACAAAATTGAAAGAAAAATAAATTAAAATCACAGTGAAGAGAGTGTTGAGAAGAACAGAAGTAGTTAAAGTGAAGGATGAAAGAAAGATAAGAAAATTAAGTGCATTAAGATTTAAGAAGTGTTGAATTAAGTTGCAAATTTGTAAGATTTTAAATGAAATTTTTCTTATTTTTTTTGCAAAATATTTAAAATTTATGTTAATTTTTTTCATAGTTTTAAATTTCACTTTTGATATCAAACAAGAATGTAGCTTTTCCTAGATTTAAAAAAAGTTTAATAGATCAGATAAAGGTTATGTTAGATTAGACAACAGTTTGTGAGTTGATTGACGAAAATACCATTTTTTAAACATTCTGGACAAATCTTTAAAACATATTTTTACACAAAAATGATTAAATTCATTCAATATTGCAAATCCCATCCAATATTTTACATCATATTTAATATTTTTTCAAATTCTCATCAGCAAAAAATAAGTTTCCATTTTCATTAGTTTTTTTTATATCTCATCTATTTACAGTTCATTTTTACATTGTTAAATCCACTTCCTCATTTTGAGATTTTTTATGCACAGAAAAAAAAGTCGAGAATTTCACTTCCATTTCCAACTCTTTTTTAAATTAAAAATTCCTTCAACTATTGAGCGATGTCGAGTCACAGCCACGGGCGATTTTAAAACACAATGAAGTAAATGAAGAGCATGGACTTAAAAAAAATTTCTTGTTAAAAGTTAAAAGTCGAATTTGATGGAAAATAAATTTTTCAATCTTAAAAAAAAGAAGAAGAACAAAAAAAGTTGGAAGCTTTAACGGAAGCGGAAATTTATTTAAAAGTCATCATCTGGATCTGGTGTTGTGTCATCATTTCCAGCAGCAAATCCTCCCGCGGAACTTCCACCACCCAATGAGGCTGAAAGAATTGGACCAGATAATCTTAATACAGATGAGAGAATGCTGCTTAAACCGCCTGCAGATCCACCACCACCATTTGAATCATCACTGCTTCCATTGTTACTTCCTCCACTGCTACTTCCACTGCTTGATCCTGATGAACTTCCTAGAACTCCACTACTTAAACCGGCAAATGTTTGTGATACGGCTGCGATTTTTGGTGTGATGATGCCTGAGATGAGTGCTTGGAAGCTTGGAACTGGCTGTGGTGCTTCAATTCCTAATTGACGATTCTTTTCGACATTGCCACGATCCAAGTTGTCAATGAGACGAGTTTTGGCATCAATGAATTGATCGATTTTCTACGAAAAATATTTTTTTTATGAATTATAGGAAAATATGGATTTTGGGACACGTTGTCAAGGATTGGTTACTTCAAAATTATTTATTTTAAACAAGTTACCAACCCTAGACGTAAGTTCTCGATCATAATAGTGCAATTTACTGCTATAAACAGTATAAAAACTTAATTATAGTGATTTTGGTGAATTAATTAGGTAATTTTCCATCTGCTGCTGCGAAGCGATGCAAATCGACATCCCGTAATTACAAGTTTCATAAATTAGTAGCCTTCATCCCTTTTACAATTAGATTAATTGATTTTCTTGCGTTATTAGCGAGTTAATTATGGGCTATAGTGTTCTATGTGGATTATTTTGATGTTATGGATCAATTATTTCTAATAAAAACACGTACTTAATGAGATTATTACGTAATTTATTATAGATGAATTGTAAAAATAGAATAGGAACTTAAAGTGTAGCTTTGAAGGTTAAAAATGAGTGCTTTGTCATTCTTTTGGGTAAAATATGAAGTGATTTTTGTTAAAAAAAAATAATGAATTGCTCGGGGTCATTCATAAATGACCTAAATTATGAATTTGAGTAACAACATCTCTTTGTATCTAGATCAGCATCTCGCCATCCTAAATGTTTGACGTCATTTATAAACGAACCCTTTATTCTAAATATTTACACAATATCCAATATTTACAGCACCAAAATAATAATCTTGCAGGTACTTACACCAAATACGAATCCTAATACGGCATTTTTTGATTGAAATGATGCTTCTGGATTGAAAGCTCGTCTATCTCTGTTAACATCATCTGATGGTTCCTAAAAAGTTCATCACATCGAATTTGTTTGAAATTGTCGACAGTTTGTTTAAGGTAAGCAAGTTAATCGTTCAGACGACAAAAGTCAATATTTAGTCGTAAAAGAATCAACATTAAAAATTGTTTTAAGGCAAAGTCGGTAGCCGAATTGTAATTCGACAAATGATTTTGCAGCATTGAACGGCAATGAATATATTTTTTGTGTGTATGTCTACCCGAAATACTCAATAAGGTCATCTCTTAGATTTTTGAATGCCTTCGATTATTGTTATTTTTATTATTGTGGTCTTTTTGAGTGCGTAGTAAAAACTGATTGTGTGGAATTTTTTGGCATTGCATATTAAATATTCATCCACATAATTGCGCAATTTTTTCTTGGGTCATAAATTTAATATTTTTTATGAATTTGGTAATTTTTTTCGGTACATCTCTTGTGAGTATTTGATTTGGTTTCCTCAACATTTGATGATCGTTGACCGTAAATGTGTCTCAATATTTTGGATGTTGTCATTTTCAAGCATGTAGAATTAGGAAATTTACTTTTAAAACATTGAAATTATGGTAGAATTCAAGCTAGAGTTATAATTTGTAGGTTAAAAATTTTAAAACCTTTAAAATTAAATTTTAAAACCTTTTAAGTTCAAACAATCAAATCAGACAAGTTCTTCATGGAGCTTTGCATATTCAAAGCATGTAATGACACAATTTAAAAAGACATTATGGCACAGAAATTTTTTTGTTCATTTTGTTTGTGTTCACAAATGGCAAGCAGACTAAGTCGCCGAGTAATGATTTCGTTTTCATCCGATACATTTGTATATTTATTTTGCAATTATTCTTCTGAATGGCTGTAGTTACTTTCACTTTTTCTGTACTTTTTATTATTTCCTTGATTGAATTTAGCTTTAAGTATGCAAATTTCGATGTAAGGTTGACGTTAGAACTTTTTGTTTGAAAGTTTTAAATTTTTTTGTTTCTTTAAAATCAGTGTTGCATTCTGGCTATTTGTCTGGATCAGATAAATTCTGAGACAGAAATTTCTTCATAAAATCGATTCTACATGTAGAAAGAAAAAAACCATCTACATGTAGATTGTGTCTACATGTAGAATCTGTCTACATGTAGATTTAATGTAGATGTCTACGATTCTACATTCTTCTCTGATGTAGACCTGGAAAAAATGTAGAATTATAGACATCTACATCGAATCTACATGTAGACAGATTCTACATGTAGACACAATCTACATGTAGATGGTTTTTTTCTTTCTACATGTAGAATCGATCTTTATGAAGAAAGTTTCTTAGCTAGACAAAAACTATTGAAGAATCTACATTCTTCATCTAGTGTAGACATCTACATTTGCAACACTGTTTAAAATTTGATGGATTAGGTTTAAAAAAAAATGATAAAATTAAATCGATTTCAGCAAAGTCGCTGGATTTGCGATTTTAAACCAAAACAAGCCAAAATTAATTGCTATCTTTAAAACAATCCCAATAGTATTTATAATATGATTCACATTACTTAAACAAAAAAATTATTAAATAACTTCTCATTGTTGATAAATCAGACTTCCAACAAAACAATAAAAAAAAAAAATAAATAAATACGAGACATTTGTCATCATCACAAAATAATCAGTCACAACACACAAAAAAAAATGAGAGGCTCAATGAAGATATTTTTCATAAGCGCGCACGTTCGATGGTTTCGAAGAAGAGAAAAAAATATTTTTTTACATAATCCTAGGTTACTTATACGACATCACAATAAATTACCATTAGCTTGCGGTTTACTTTTTCTGTCTCATTTACTCAAGATTACAAAGGCCACAATAAGCAGCCTCAATTTGCGACTAATACTGAATATTGCTTGTTATTACTTTGGTTTCTTGAAAGCATTTTCTAGCGATTTGTTTTGATACTTTTGTTGGGATTTTGAAGAATTTGCTTCTTTAAAACATTTGAAATTTTTCAAATTCAAAATTTTAGAATTTTTGGAATATTCAAAAATAATTAAAAACATTCAAAATTTCAAAAAAAAAAATTAAAATTCAGAATTTAAAAATAATTCAAAACTTCAAATATTAATTCAAAATTTCAAAAAAAATTAAAATTCAGAATTTAAAAAATAATTCAAAACTTCAAAAATTAATTCAAAATTTCAAAAAAATCAAATTTTAAAAAAAATTAAATCTTCAATTTTCAATTAATCTCAAAAAATCACCAGCAGAGTATCAAAATTTCAAGTTAACAATCTTCTTTACAAACTATCTACGTTACTCAACACTTACAGCAACATTCGTTGGGTCAAGTGACAATTTGTCATCGCGCTTAATTCGCATGCTTGGTAAAGCAAACGACATATGGCACACGACCACTAATACTGCAAATATACTCCAACTAAATTTCATGATTCTGCTTTTAAATTTGAATTTTTAAGGATGTGATGATGATGATGATGATTGTTTGATGAGTGCCTGGAAGTAGAAGAAGAAAGAAAAGAATTAGTAAAGTTTAATGTTTGGTTTAATTTTTGTAATTGATATTTAAGATTATAGGTTGGCAATGAATTTGTATGTTAGTGCCAAGCAGATATCTTCCTGTAAATCTGGATTTATAAATGAAACCCAAAACCAGCACATATACATTCTCAGTTCTAATCATTTCAATAACTTAATACTGCAAGTATTGATTTACATAAATTCAAGTCACTAATGAGATTCAAAGACAAAAAGTGAACGGATTTTATAATATTGATGTAAAATTAAAAGAAGCAAAATTAGCATGTTATGCCAACACTTTGTGCATAGTGATAAAGTGTAAAATGTTATTGGTTTCGCTCATTTGTTGATTAATTTATGAGACTAGTTATTAATTGACGTATGTGCTTGAACTTGTTTTTAATCTTGGAGGTTATTGAATGTACTTAAAATTATTTTCTATTGACATTAGAAAAGCTTTTAAAATTTCGCAGAGGCTGAGAATTTGAATCTTAATCAATGTCATTGATCAACTCTTAATATTACTCAATTGGTTCGAGTTGTTATTAAAGATTTTTATTATTTTTAATTGATTCTCGCTGGTTCTCTAAACTAAGTTCTAAGAAATCTTTTCGATCTTATTAATGAAATTTAAAATTATTTCTCTTTATGAATTCTTGCTGACATTGAGTATGACGCGAATCTGACTTATTTAAACTAGATAAAAAGGTGCAGTGTCATGAAACTAGTTTCACGTTAGACTTAGAATTTATTCGAAGATTTGTGTTAATTATTTCAGACCGTATGTGAGGAAAAGAAATGAATTTAGCAGCTTTTAGAATCTATAAATCCTAGTTTTGCTTTCGGTACCTTTATCATCTATCAAAAAACAAATTATCCATAATATCAAGATTTATTCCAATCAAGGTTCTAATGGAAACAAAGCTAAGATGAAGTTAACATGAATAAATCAAGCCGCAAAAATTCAGTTTTTTTCTTCACAAAAGCTTCTTCAAAAGTCAACAGAATATTAAAGCCTATCAATCAACATTATTTCATCTACATTTTCATTCCTTCATCCATCCATATCAATTATTGAATGCAACCGTATCCAATTAAAAATAGAAGCATATTAAAAACCACTTCTAATCAACTTTATTCCTATTCTTTATCATTTCTGAAGTACATTCTCATGTTCAATAAGCTTTTCGCTAGAAAAAAAAATTCATGCATCGAACATTTATTACTATTATAACAAGCTTAGCGTGCCGACCTTCCCACTAGAATAAACTTGAACAAAGTTTTTTTTTACGTATTTCATTTTGCAATAAAAATATATGGAAATTTTTGCATTTGAAAATCACTGTTGACTGGATACACGTATGGCTGAAGAACAATTTTTTTAAAGCTTTACTGAACTTCAAATAACAATCAAATAATTTATGAATGCTTATTTGAGTTTATAGGTAAATTGATCAGTCATGAAACATTTGAACTGGAATTTGAGTGCTAATTTTTTAAGGCTTAATTGATTCAATTGTAATTCTGAGCTTTATGAGCTTATTTCAAAAATGGAATTTTTATAGCATTTCTATTTTTACCGGTAACTATTACAAAACTCTCAAGAAGGTTTAGCATTTTTAAACTTATTATTAAGCACCAACATATAAAATGCAGTGCAGAACAAACTATTCACCGCGATACTCAAGCTATAAAATTAATTTTAATCATAATTTATGGAATTTAAGTTTCGCAAAAGTATCTGGGACACAAAACATTCATGTATCGTAATATAAAGCTACAAGCTTAATGTAGTGTGTTTTTGAATATTTTTATAGCTTGCAGAACAAAAAAAAAATCAATGTTCAACAACATTTTCTCACTAAAGGCAATTAAAAGTGAATTTCATGGTGCAAATGAATTTTTTTTACATCTTGCAAGAATTGCTGAATGGTTTTGTTCGCTTATGACGTTCATAATTTATTATGAAAGTGCAGTCTAAGATTTTGTACATCAAAAACATAATTTTATGGGATGGGGGGGGGGGTTGCTAAAAGACCCCCATTTTATGTAAGATCTATCAAATTTTAAATTAAGAAAATACCAAAAATTTTCATCATTGCATGCCAAATTCTATTCATATATTTTTGAATTTTTAATTATTGCCAGTTGTGCAACACAAAAAAAAAATTCCCGCATAGACAACAAGAAGATATTTCCTTTCTCCATATTTTTACTATGATGCGCTCATAGAGATTCCCATAGTTAACAAAACTTGCTTCTGCCAATTACATAAAGTTACATAATTCAGCATTTTTTTTCTTATTATAAATTCGACCAACACTCAAAGTTTATTGACATTTTTCTTGCTTCACAAAATTAATTTTTTTTTCGACAATTCCTCAGAGCATTTTTTTTTTGTTTTTTGAATTTTAATCAGTCTTGCTTCATATTTTTCAACCAAAATCAAATTCACTGCACAAAAAATATATTCCACTTTTGGGTATCCAACAACTCATCACTTACAAGATTAGAAGAAAAAATAATTCCAACGAAAATTGCCAAAAAAAAAATTATAAAATAGCGCTGCGAGTCTCAATCAAGCTTTATGTGGCGTTCAACTCAACAGTCAATTACTAAATGCATGAGAGAAAGAAAAATAACGCTGAAATGAGTCTTGAGTAGCACAATGAGGCAGCATGGTGGTGGCAAAAATGAGATTCACGAAAAACAAAATTGGAACTTAAACATTTATTTTTATGCCTCTCAGCTGACTCTTATGACTTGCATATGCACTGCAAAAAATTAATATTTTACTGTTGCCATTTTTCTTGAATTCTCTCTCGGGTGAGTAGCATTGCAAGCTTTTAAGAAAAAAAAATGAATTACTGTCAATGTGCAATTGGGTCAGACAGAATATGTATGTGGAGATATTTCTTCTTGTGACTTTATAATGCTTAATTTAATTTAACTTGTCTGCAGTGTATAATATTTTATTATGTGTTTGCTTTTTATTTTTTGTCTATAAAATAAGAAGAAAGATTGTTTTTTGTGACTTTGTAAAATATGTTGCTATGAATTTTTTTTGGTAAGGTCGTTGTAGTCAGGGTTGTAGAATTGTCAAAGTTGTGGAAAGTTGTATAATGGTAATAAAGGAATTATTACTTTATTGAAGCATCTAATCCCGAATGGCAGAAGTCGATTAATTGATCAGAAATCGGGTATCCAGTCGGTGTGACTCAGGCATAATCCGTGATTTAAATCGAAGTCAGCACCATGTCAGAGTTTTGGATTTCTATTTGATTAACCGACTTGTGCTATTAAAATAAAAATAAAATAAACTTTAGCATTCAGATCATAAGATTCATAGCTGTTATATATTTAACGAGAGAAGGTTCGTCAGACCTCCCGCTCAAACTTAGAGCTATAGTTTATATATACATTAGATTTGAAAAAGGACAGGTGAAAAATTTCCCATATCGAGTCTCGAACCCATGATCGCTGTGTCGTATTGCAATAATTAGGTCCCGAAGTACTAAACCATTCCGCCACCGAGCTACTTCAGCACACTCTTCAAATAACTAGATTATATTCGATTAAACGCGACGTTAGTGTTAAATCTTGTTAAGATTCTAGTCATGAAATTGTGTAATAGTAACAGGCACTGGTTGATCCTTCCAAAAAACTGTTTGACTCTAAACCAGCAAACCAGATGTCGAACCAACACTTTCAAATATTTCAGGCTACACCCGTATTACCCCAACTCTGCCATCTATTTATAGCAACAAATTGAATTTTCATTTCTTCTTCGCTTCCAAAAAAAAAAAAATCCATTCACTGTACTTAATGGATAGAAGAATTTTAATTTACTTTTATTTTGGCAATCTCACATTTCGATTTTGCTCACTCGAACATAATGACAGCTATTGCCGCTGTTTTCGTAATAATTTTGATGGACAAATGAATGTTTGGAATTAAACGAAGAAGAAATTGTAGACAATGAGATTGTCAGTTGCTAAATTAGTATCATAAATGTTAAATCTTGACACACCTTCGAGGTTATCGTAATCTAATAGATAAGTTAAGGTTAGAAATGTTAAATATGGGCATTTTAAACAAGCCTATAAAGGAGAATGGTATTGTTGGATTTTTAATTTGATTGTTGTCGCTTTTTTTGGGTGATTAATTGGATTATTTTGGAAGTTATTAAAGTAGGGTTGGGATTTTTTTACTCATAAAAATTGAACTTCTTGTAGAGATTAAATGCGTTCCAAATAAATTTTTTTAACTCTAGATGTGGTTACGGCCATTGAGCTACGTTTAAGCGTCTGAATAGGAATCTCTTTTGACATGAACTCTATATTTCAATTTTACATTAAAAATTCAACAAATTTCACGGAACAAATACTCAAACTTAATAAAATAAAGTTTCTAAAGCGGAACACAAACAATAAACATTTAATTTGGTCTCCTTGAAAACAAATCTAAGAAAATGAACCATAACAAATGAAAAAAGCTCCAGATTCTTGCTCAACTTTTGTTCTGATTAAAATCAAGAACTTCAGCTATAGAGAGCCAGAAAACAGAACCGCGTTGTGTAACCGACTATTCAATATATTTGAAAATAGTTTTGAATGGAAGAATAAATCGTGCAAAGTCTATGATAGATATCAATAAGGCAAAGGTTGAAGTCGATCTGGTTCATTGGCTTGGTGTTGAGATTATATCAAAGGTTGGTGTTAATTATGAAAGGTATGAGAGGGTCACGGTCTGTTATTTGCTTTATAGAATTATTTTTAATACCATTCTAATCTTGTCTACCAGCACAAGCTAATCATAACCTTGACAATCTGCAAAAAACCAAAAAATGCTGTTCTTCATGTTTGCCATTCATCAATATTATTGCTTAATTGATTTATAAATACTGAATCAACATTTCAAAAATAATAATCCGAATTTTAATTTATTGAGAATTATTAAGCAATGCCAGAAAAAATTCTCTATTTGCTTATACAAAAAAACCTTTCAATTTTTACTTCCTTGAACTGCTAAATTTAAGTTGTCTGAGTTTCTATTTGCATTATTGTAAAATAATGAAACGGTCATAAAAGGAATTGGAATTGTCTATTATAAGCAAAGAGCGATCAACTTGAAAGTTAGTCTAAAATGTTGCAATAAAATGCAACAAAAATATCCCAAAACGAAAAGCTGCTTGCTGAATGAGTAATGCAGCATACAAGTGTGGACTGTGTCAAGTTAAAAAATTATTGGGTTCGAATGTACAAAGCGCATTTTAACAATATGTCTTTATATAAACTAGATTTGTTGACGTTATTGCAAATCTCATTGTTTGTTGTCAAAATAAGCATAAAACAGCCATTACGGTAACATCAGATCAACCCTTTCTAATAAACCACTCTGATTAGTTTCTGATGACTTGGACAGTCCTTACTCGTATCCAATTGAAAAGGTCTGAACCACTACCGTTGACAAACTGACTAAAATCATACAAAATCACGTTTCAAATCCCAAAAAAACTGCTTCCAAAAACAGGTTTCTTTAATTGCCGCAAAAATCTGCATTTGTCGATTAGAAACACTCGACTGCTGTTAAGACACGAGCAGAAAAAGTAGTTGCAATTTAATTTTTTCTCAATTGATAAATATTACTTACGATTCATGTCAAGGAATGACTCGTTTATAAGATCAGACACCTTCAACCGATGTCCTCATGAAAGTTGATCATAATGTATCAAGAGTAAAGGTCTATGTACTTTTGAGCTGGCTCAATATTGCTATTGACTCAGTATTAATGAAGAAAATATGAGCACCCGACATTGTTTTGCTTTGTAGATGAATAAAAGCTCATGACTATAATAATGGATAAGGTCAGTTATGTAATTTATATTTAATTTTTTTTTTCAAAGTAAAGAATAGAGCATAAAAGTCAAGTTTATCCAAGCGACGATCTTTATTAAGCTACAAATAATTTTTCATACTATTATTATGAATATTCAAAGACGAGAAATCAACCTGTAGATCAGGAATTTGTAAACTTATAATTTGTAAGTCTTAAATCATTTTTGAAAGACAAAATCATGCGAAAATTTGTTGCAAGCAAATAAGAACAATGGAAAAAGTTTAAGTTTGCCTTGGTCAAATGAAAGCAAGTAGCCGTAAATGATGATGCTTTATTTTGTAACTTGTTGCTTAAATAATGGATGCAAAAATGAATTTTTAATTTGTTTTGTAAGAAAACATTTAAATTTAATTTTTTATATCCATCAAAGTGTATGAAATGACTGTCCGCAGTTCCTTAATCATGCTAGTTATGCACTTTGATGTCCAAAATTATTTCTTGCATCACGAGACAAAATGGATGTGTATTTAGGAAATCTGACTTATCCTAAACTGTCAATTGCGAGATCTTGAATTGGACATACCGAATCTAAACATTTCATAAGACATTGTTTAATTAATCAGTTGCTCCATCAAAAAAATCCGTTCAAAAATGATGTTTTTCATAAAGATACATTTACAGAGCCTCAAACTCAATTCTGATACAAAATCTTCATCCAAAAATATTCTTTTGTATGAAAGTGTCTTTAAGAGACAGACCCCTTGTTCCATATTGTAATGACATGTAAGGGATCATTCACAAATGATGTCAAAAAAGAGAATTCAAACCTCTCTTCATTCCTTTGCCAGAAAATATTTAAAGAAATATAAATTTAAAAGTACCGCAGACTAGTGACATCATTTTTCAACGACCCTTAAGCAAAACTAAAGTCTTTGAAGCGGATTACCTAACCTTTAATCTCAAAACAATCTTAAAATCTAAATTTGTCAACTTCTCGTGTGATACAAAAAAAAAATTATATACATTTTAACACCAAATGTTATTTATAAGTCATACTGCTTTTCATGACTTTTCTATGTAACAAGCTGTTTCTGTTGACTATAGTTTGTTTTTTTTGATTATTTATTTTTTTTTTAAACTTATATTGCTCTGTTGTTAATTGAAACATTTTACGATGCAGATTCATACAACCCAAATTTAAAAATCCTATAGAATTAAAAAACCTACACTAAATGTAACAAATCACCTGCTAGCTGTAGCATCATCAACCTTGAAGACATTAAAGAAAGGAAAGCCATCAACAGCTGAATACAATTGATGTCGAATTTACTTATTCCAAAATGATTTTTGATCTTAAAAAATAATGTCATTTTGCCAAAATGCTTCCATCAAATGTTGAGGTCTTGTGGCGCAATTGGATAACGCGTCTGACTACGGATCAGAAGATTGCAGGTTCGAGTCCTGCCAAGATCGAGAACAACTAAAATTATCTTTTTGCACTTTTTTACAAGTTTTGATCATAAAACGTTTACTGATGTTAATTAAAGTAGGAATTTTTATTTTTTTTTTATGTCAAATCTCAAGGTCAAAGGTTCAATATTGGACTAGGAGAGATGTTTTTACGAGTTTTAATATTTTACCAATGATGTATAGTTTTTCATACATTGATGTAGCTAGAGACCTTAATATCTAGAACTGGCAGAAGGTTTCTGTGGATAGAGCTGTCTTTAGACAAAGGGCCCACGTGCACCCCAGCCAAGGAAGTAATTAAGTGATCACTTCAAATGAAAGGTGTCGAATGTTTTTAAAGATCAAGGTATTTTTGCGCAGTTTACGATTTACTAGGTTAAAATTGGTTTTTTTGAAGTTCATTGCTAACAACATCAAATGAATACCAAATCCACATGATATAAAATTACAATTTAAGGTCGATTTAAGTCCCTCTCTATCTTATTATCCTCATCAAGCTAAGCTCATGCACACATGCGAGCCCTCAACTTAACATAAATAGAAACCCAAACACGTTCATAAACATATTTCTATTGTGAAATTTATTAAAATATTTTATGTAATTTCACTTAAAAGTAACCAGCAGAACGTGATACAGTAATAAGTAAAATGCCGCTAAATAGGTATGGAGGTGAAAATTAAAAACAATCAAAAATTATTAATTGATGTATAGTAATGGAAACTGGAATGTTAGATAATGTTGCGCATTTGAGGTATGGACTTGTTAATAAAATAAAGTCATTTTTAAAAAACCAATTTTATTTCAATTTTTGGTGCCATCAGTCGTCTTTTGTTTGTTATACAGTCGTCATGGACTTTCTTCCTCCCGCAAAATGTGAGTCTTTTTTTTGCGAATTTTTTGTGAAAGTTTTGAGTTTTTTGTGTGCAAATTTTTAAGTTTTTGTGAAATTTTTCAGTCAAATAAATGTAGCTGAATTTTAAAAAAATCGAGGCTGTAAGATTCTAGGTAATAACTTCTTTATCATTTATTCTAGTGCCATTCATTGAAAAATGGATCTTCTTCGGATCACCAGTGCCATTGCTTTCGATTTTTGTGATCTATTTTGCGATTCTCAAGTTCGGACCAACTTACATGAAAAATCGTCCAGCATACAAGCTCAAAAATGTCATCAGATTCTATAACCTCATTCAAATATTCTCATGTACATTATTTTCAATTCTCGCGCGCTATGGATGGGGTTACAATATGTTTGAGGCTGCATTTCAGTGTGTTTTGAGATATGAGGACCATATTAAGACATTGGATGAAATGATCTTTATTTATACACTGTACTGGTACTTCTTTTTGGTGAGACTTATTGAGCTCTTTGAGACAGTATTCTTTGTTTTGAGGAAGAAGCAGGAACAAATTTCATTCTTGCATGTATATCATCATATCAGCACGTTAGTGTTCCTGTATATTTTGAACAGATATTCAGCCAGTAAGTATTATTTTATGAGATTTTTTAATTTGGAGTGTCACGGCATAGCATCATTCTATAAGCCTAATTGCTTCGGTGTTAATTGTAAGTCTTTGGTTTGATTCAAACAATCTGAAGATTCAAACTCTTATTTGAGAGTTCGATTCTCATCAAACATTAAAATTTCAATTTTAATACACAATACAAAGCGTGTGTGACTGACTGCAGGAGTTAACCTAATTTCCACATACTTTAAATCACTTATTTCCCAAAAAAATACAATTAATCAGAAAAAGTCAAACTTCCAATTAAATTAACTCTCATTTAAACTTGTCCAACAACATCTGACTCAATATTCCCTCATTCATTTTAGGTCCAATGGAAGCATTCGTAGCCATTCTCAACAACAATGTCCATATCTTGATGTACACATACTATTTCTTCAGTTCATTTGAAAAGCTATCAAAATACTTGAATATCTTGAAGCCAATTATGACAACAATTCAAATTGTTCAACTTATCATCATTCTGATGCAATGTTTAGCTGCAAGAATGTGTGGATCAACTTATTTGTTCTATGTCTTTTCATTCAATATTGCTGTGCTGATTTTCTTTTTTGCACAATTTTACTATAAAAGTTATATTCTTAAGAAAAAGGAAGTAAGTGGAGCGAAAAATGAATAGATTGAGTTGAAAACAAAATTCAGTGATTTTTTTTTGATAATGTGAAATTCGTAGATAAATTTTTTTTATTTTTTATATAAATCATTGAGGCAAAGTATAACTGTTTTGAAAGCTATACAGAAAAAGTTAAGTCAAAAATGATGAAATGTTTCTAAAATAAATGGAATAAAAATTATTCAAATAAAAAAAAAGTGAAAAATTTCAAATTTAATTTTGTTTTTAAAATTCACAAAATTGATTACCAAATTAAAGTCCATATTTATTATCCGTATATGTCTATAGCTGAATATAATCTACTGCCAAAAGTCAAATATTATTTAATCCGCACACGCTGAGATGGAGATTTTCAATAAGTTTAAAATAAACCAGCTTCTCCTCAACAAATAGTGACAACATCCCTGATGTTTGAAAAATTTGCAAATTTCTCGTCTGGGGCCGTTCACACATGACGTCCGAAAGTAACGGTCATTTTTGCAAAAAAAGAACAATAGATTTCCAGGAATTTCTATTGTTCTTTTCTTGCTGACCCCCCCCCCCCCCCCCCCTGGACGTCATAAGTGAACGGCCCCTTTATAAATCACTAAAAATTCCAAAATTTATTCAAACCAGGAACCGAGCAGAAGCAAAAAAATCAAACTTCCTCAAAGTCATGTTCGCAACCTATTAGCTTGACTTTATCTTGTTAGCAATGTACATATTTTTTGAGAATATATTTTTAAATCTATACGCAATTCCCAACATTTCCTCGAATTGAACTGTGTGCAAATTCCATAGCCAGTAATCGACGATTACAAATTCAAGATTTTTTTTCCTTTCAATTCACGTGTATGTGAACATTTAAGTAAATTCAATGATGCTTTTAGCTAGGGCTACCATCTAATTTTCATGAAAATACAGGACTTTTGGTAAATTTTTTCGAAAAATACAGGACATAGAGTAAAATTCGAAAATTAACGGAAATTTTCGTGAAAAAAATACAGGACCTGGAACAAAGTTTTCAAATTTATACAGGACAGGGTTTTGAAATACAGGACTGTCCGTTGTAAAACTACGCAGATGGTCACCCTACTTTTAGCATAAAAAATTATGAAATATTATTTTCATGTGGAAAATATTGAAGGAAAAAAAATCAGTCAGCTACGATTTTGAAGCATTTTTAAGTAGCAATAGACATTTTCAAGTACTTTACTTGTTTCCATTGATGAAGTCAATGTCAATGAGCGTAAATAATTGAATTAAGCTTAGTATGTTATTGGGTTTGAAAGGATTGTTGTTTTAAAATTTTTTTGTTGTTTTATTTATGGGGTTTTGATGTAAAATTTAAATTATAAAACATTTCAGAAATTGTGGAAATTGTACCAACAAGACTGGACCAGAAATTTTTTCTTGATGCACTTAAGCAAATTGAATACCCCATAGTCTTACATTTGTACGGTAAGGACCGAATGTTGTCGAAACAGTTCAAATGTAATGAATATGTAGGCTGAGATCTCTTAGATACGCTCTTAAAACTTCCATTTGATCTTAGCATTAGCGCTTACTGAAAAATTCAAGCAAATCCTGTTAAAATCAAGATTTAAGAACTGACTCGTGCTTAGTCGAGAAAACAAAAAAATCTACAAAATACAGCATATTTTTAAATTTCGACAGCAAAAAATGCTGCTGCATCGATTAATGTTAAAAGAATAAAATTCACAAATAAACCAGTTAGCCTTCCAAACACAAAAGTATCATTGTTTTCAAGATATTTTTTAACATACTTCAATCCGACTTTAATAACAGCAAAAACAAAATTCGACCTTGACTTAATAAACTTCTCAATATTTTTTTAAGCCTTTAATGTTATCACATCTGTCGTCATTTAACTTTACTTTCAAGCGTGACTCACATTGTAAAGTTAAACCAAATGTCGATATTATTTTTTTATTATTGCATAATTTCAGATCTCATTTATGCGAAACAAGAAAGAAAGAAAGCAAGCTTGAAAGCGAAATTGAATTCTCTCACATGAGAGTGTTGCTTGTCTGTCTTTAAAATATGCATACATATGTGCTTACATACGAAGAAATGATTCGTGCGAGAGAAAAAAAATTATTGAAAGCCGTAAAGAAATGTGTGAGGAGAAAGTGGTGGGCTGATGGAGCTACTGACACACATTTGTTGTCTTCTTCGTATTGTTACAAAAATTATCACTAAAAAATGTTAAAAATGTTTAAATTGGTGCTTACTTTTTGGTTGCGATGATGAGAAACAAAAGTTTAATTCACAGGAAATTTTCACTTCTTTTGATTAATTAATCGAGATGCTTAATTTTATATTTTTTTGGTCTTTTGTCTGCAAATTGACTTAAACTTATTCACTCGTTTTTCTAAATGTCAAATCAATTTGAAGTTTTTTTTGTTGGAATTATGAAGAATTTCATGCAAATAATTAAGCAAAATTAAAGGTCAAAATTAGTAAAATCTTATGAAGCTTAAAAAAATAATAAATTTGCAATTTTAATATTTTTAACAATTTTTCTAAATTGTCTAAAATGAAAATTCTTCAAAATTTCCAAAAAAAAACTTCCTAAAACTAGACACAACAATTCCTCAACACTTCACAAGGTCATAGCTTTTTACTCAAATTTTAACAAACTTCACAAAACTTCTCCCAACTTCTCTCAAAATTCCACAATATTTTCACGCGAATTTTCAACACCGGCACTTCTAAATCCACCTTTAAGTTCTCAAAAACACACAAACCTTCAAGATTTAGTAAATAAAATCGCGTGCAATTCACCTGTACAGTATATGTGGCTCAATCTTTGAGCTCAACTAACGTATCGCATACTTGATGATTTCGAATCGAGCTTTTCGAAATTAATCAGTCGCTCTCTTCACTGCATTGCTCATTCTCATGCTTGATGTATGCTTATGAATTGGTGTTTGGATGAGCTTTTTCTGATTTTCGAAATCAGCTGTTGTGAGAAGGCTTGAAACTGCTTCATGGCTTTAAACGATGAGCTTTATTTCAAAAGGGAATTTTGAGTTTTTTTTAAAGTTAAGGTTGGTAGTTGAACCCCACGGCTAGCAAAGGACACTAGATTCCAAAGTACTTACTTACTTCTCTAGCCGTACAGATCAATTGTGATCCATGGCATCCCTTAGATGACGCTTGAAGCTGTCTCCGTCCTCAGCTTCTCTCTAAGAGTTCTTGCGACGTCCACGTGCTCTTTTTTCCATTCACAAAATCAGACTTAAGAACTTTATTAATGGGAGCTTCAACAGGTCTCTTATCATGGACCGCCCAACGAAGCTGTTATATGTATAGATTCTATAGATTCCAAAATTGTCAGGAATATTTTATTTTTCAACCAAAAACTTCCTTATTTATTCCAATGATTTATTTTGAGTTCAATAATCCAAAACAGTTTTGCAATATTTTGAAAAACTTCTCCCAAAAAAACCGGTCACGCGTTTTTAGATGTGCCATAAATAAATCCACAATCCAATTTAGTTACACACGCTTGACTAACACAGCAATAAAAGAAGATGTTTAAGTTTTTTTTGGATCTGGCTTAAAACTTTTACTGTCAATCGATACTCAATCGCTGAGCTGATAACAGTGTTTCGGAAATAAATTGAAAAAAAAAATGGAATTGATCCTGCCACCAGCGAAATGTAAGCATTTTTGACTTGCTTAATATTTTCAAAAAATTTAAGAATAAAATAAAATTTAAATAATTGTTTAAAAATTCATTACAGATGATCTCGTTGAGTCATGGGTGTTTTTTGGAGCAAATCCAGTTCCAGTATTGACAATATTTGCAGTTTACTTTATTCTCTTAAAAGTTGGACCAATGCTTATGGCAAATAGACAACCCTTCAAGCTAACAACCACAATCAGAATCTACAACATTGTTCAAATACTTGGATGTGCATATTTTTCATCTCTATCGCACTTGAAATTCAACTACAGTCCCTTAAAATCAATATGGAAATGTGAAACTAATGACATGTACATCAGTTCACATGAAGATGTTGTAGAGATTTACCATCTAAATTGGCTCTTTTACTGGCTTAGATTGATTGAACTTCTTGAGACGATGTTCTTTATCATGAGGAAGAAGCAAGAACAGATTTCCTTCCTTCATGTCTATCATCACATCTCAACACTCTTCTTCTTGTACATAGCTTACAGATATTCAGCAGGTGAGTGAAGCTTTTGAATGAAACATGACATTTGAGTGATAAGCTTGGCTTCATGAACTATTAATTGAACTTTTGTCTTGTGTTCGAGTCCTTTAAAGAGCTTAGTTAATTGTATTTTGTGAAATTATTAAAATTCTAATGCAAATCTGGAAGATTTTGCTACAAATGCATGACTTAACATATTTTTAGGACAAATATTTGAGGTATTGCTTAAATTTGCCTGATTGCGTGATTTGCAACTTTTTAGCACAGTTTGTGTTTTGCGAATAAATTAAATTTCATCAGATTTACAAAACAAATTTTTGTTTTTTGTCTGAGGATGTGAATTTAAATTATGTAAATTTTTATGCCTGTAACTTTGAATTCATGTCTATCAACTATTAATTTTTATGCTCATCCTTGGAATGTTTCGATGAAATAGTGCGAATTTATTAATCAAGTTGTTCACGCAATATGCTAGATTTATGAAGATGGGCTGTAAAATTCAATTTTGCTGTAAATCTTAAGTTTCATCATATTTGGCATTTGTGAATATAATTTGAAAAGAGAAAATCACGTGAGAACATCTAGACATGTAACAGGAACCGTTCATTGACAAAACAAGAATTGAAAAACCCGAAAAACAAGTCACTCGACTAGTTTGATTTCGCAATTTCTTTTGAAACTTTTTATCACACGATTTCCATAATCACAGCTCCAATGTCAAGGTTTTTAACACTTTTTTTCATGCTCGAGACTCAAATTGTTGAAAACAACAACTTATTGATACATTTTATTGATTCTTTTATTTACATTTTCAGAGGTTATGGACATGTTCATCATAATACTCAACAATGATGTCCACATCTTGATGTACATTTATTATTTCCTAAGTTCCTTCAGGCAACTGCAACCGAGTCTAAGCAAATTGAAGCCAATAATGACGACAATTCAAATCGTTCAGTTGGTATTAATCTTTGGACAATGTATAGCTGTAAGGGCTTGTGGAATATCTAATGGAATCTTTTCTATTGCAATTTTCAATGTTGCTGTTCTTCTTGTGTTTTTTGGCAATTTTTACTATCAATCGTACATGAAGAAAAAGGCAATTAAGGAAGGAAAAAGTGAATAAGTTTAAGTGATGATCAATTTAGTTTATGAAAATAGTTTTTAAGTTGTTAAATTTTCTGGGTCATTTTGGTGATTATTGAAAAAATAAATTAGTTCTCATGACAAACAAAATTTTTGAATCTTTTAACAAAGTGAAATTGACACAATAAAGTGTTATCATTGGTTAAGTCATCTATGAAGCAATCGGGTTTGTTGTTCCGATATAATAATATGCAGTTTTTATGTTGGATATTACACAATAATGAATATTAAATTAAAAGATTTTGCAATGTCCGTTCAACATTTAAAGACAGAGATTAAACTTTATAGGATTCAGTTTTCAATTTAATTTAGCATTTTTTGAACTTTGCTAAAAATTATGAAATCAGTTGGCTTTACAAATCACGTCCAAGACGATCAAACTCGTTCAGCATAAAGTCAATATCCTTCTCAGTTATAGCATCTTGCGATATAATTGATCTAAAGAAGTTAGGAACTTTACCGTCACGTTGATACCCAACCATAAGTGTTCCAGCTTTCATCATACGTTCTTTTATAATTGGACATAATCTTGCCAGTTCCTCTTCCTTTTCAAGACTATGTGGCATATGACGAAAACGTTCCGGAATATACCAGAAACAAACATTCACAAATTCTGGCTCCATCAGCAAATAAAACTTGTCTGGCATCTCTTTTATTTTCTTTACTTGATATTGAGCAAGTTCCATTAGCCGATCAACACGTGCTTCAAAACCCGATTCACCACGTGCACGCCATTGTAGCCATAACTTAAAAATATCATTATGACGACCACATTGAATGACATGATCACCAGTGTCGTATCGAGTGTCATAAAATTTATCAGTCATGAAAAGATATTCAGCTGTCATTCTGTTACATTCTTCAAGGAGACCATTTTGACGGACATGAAATGTTGAGCATTGTAGAGTTGTTCCCATCAATTTGTGAGGATTCCATGTGACTGAGTTTGCTCGTTCGACTCCATGCAATTTGTGGCGATGTGTTTTTGAAAGCAGTAGACCTCCACCCCATGCAGCCTGAAAATAATGGTAACATCAGGTAAATTTTGAAGAAAAAAATCACCATTTCAATTTACATCAACATGCAGCCATATTCCATATTTTGCACAAATATCAGCAATCTCATTTATTGGATCAAATGCACCCAAAACAGTCGTTCCTGCAGTTGCATTCACCATAATCGGATATTTACCTTTAGCTTTTTGTTCAAGTATTAATCTCTCCAATTCTGCTGGAATAATTCGGCCAACCTTATCACTAGGAATATAAACACAATTACTTGTCCCAAATCCGCACACCATTGCAGCCATTTTCATTGAGTAATGACCTTGATCATTTGTGAAGATGACAAGTTCCCCAGGCAATGCCGATGGTCCTTTAACTTTATATTCTGGATATGCTTTATAACGTGCAACAATAACAGCATAAAGGTTGCTTATTGTACCACCAGGAGCCATAATAGAATCACCATGATGAAATCCAATAATTTGTCGCATTCGCTTTAATACCTGATGCTCCATAATGATAAAAATCGGTGATACTTCGTACGTAAACATATTACAATTAGCCGTTGCAGTCAGCCACTCGCCAGCCATTGCAATGATATCAAGACCACATGAGAGCTGATTCATGAAATGTGGACTTCCAGTTTTGACACCATATTTGAGGACGGAGGCACAGTCAGTTATTAAATGCTGTAATGTCACTCCATCATGTGGAATTGCCATGTTGAATAATTCTTTTAATTTTTGTGGTGAATGATATTCTAATACATGCTCATGTCTATCGTTGCACAGTTCAATGTAGTCTAGGAGGATGTCAACTATTTTCTGCAAAAATTCTCGTGTTTCTGCTTGAGCTTGCTGATTAAATGGCAGTAAGTCAAACATGGTTAGATTGGCGATTTTTGACTGGAGTTTGTAGATGTCTGGATGAATTGATGACATTTTAAAAGACCTTTTTTTTGTATCCAACTTTTGAATTAAATATCTTGCGATATTATAAGAACGACAGACGCAAAAGAACTGAAGAAAAATTAGAAATGAGCATTGAAAGTAGAAACTTTATCTTTGCTGTACTTTTTGTCTGTGTTTGTGAGATTAAAAGTAATAACAACTCAGGTCGTTGATATGTTAACTTTTTATTTTGTATTGTAGCTTATTATCTTACTTTCTAGACGATTCTGCAGTTTCGTTTGCAAAGAAAACACATGCTTTTGTGAATACCGGCTGAAACAAATGCTAATGAATGTAAACATAATAGAAACTTGTTAGATATTGTTCAAAACAGATGCAATCAAGCAATGACGTAGTCAGATTTTTTTACTAGTGGAGTTTCTAGTGAGAATGAACAAAATCCTTTTTATTTCCGATTCTTAAAAATTTAAGCCACTTTGGGATTTTATATCCATTTGCTAAGCATTTGACGTAGCCTCCTTTGTCTTGAAACAGTTGCTTAAAATGCCAGGTGAGTTACCAAGGAACGGATGATTGGATGGCAAACAACATTTGCTATACATGTTAAATGTCTTGAGTAAACTATAATGCAGTAAATATAACCAATCACAGACAATTATGACATCAGAGAGATTTTCAGAACATTCTGGAATCAATTACTATAGAAATGTCAGATGTTGGCTTGGTGATTGATGCAATTGGAATTTTATTGTCCATTAAGCAGCCTTTGGAATCTTGTTTCCTGTACATAATCTAGTTGAACTTCAAACTATTCAAATGACATCATATTATGTGAGTCTATTAAGCCAAGCAACAGAGAATTATGACACTCACAAAACTACTAATTTACACAAAACATTTGCACTTCCAAAATATAAATTATTATTTCCCAAAAGTGCAGCATATGAAAAACTTTTCATTCTGCTCAACAAGTCAAATATTCTATACAAAATTTATTGTCAATATCGATTGCAGAGGAACACATTTTGTTTTCATTCAAAACATTAAATTTATCGATACAGTAAAACTTTTTATTCCTGTACAAGAGACTGTTTACATTCATCTATAAATGATTGCGCTGTATATTTTGTATGCTTTTACTGATTTTATACACATTTTCTGTATTTTCTATTGTTGATAAAGTATTTGGTATTGGAAAAGTTTTGCCTTCTCTCCAACTACCTGATGCTTATGCTGCTTACACATTCTTTATTAATTTATGTTTGTTTGAACATTTTCAGCTGCTGCTGTGACGCTGTTTGATTCTTGTAGTTTATTGTGTGACTTTATTAATTTTTATTAGAGAGAGGGGGGGGGGGGGGGTGCAAGCTATAATTTTCATCAAAAAATGGAAAAAATATTTTTTTCTAAATTAATCCCCGTCACCTCTACTGACATTCACTTATCTATAAAAAAAAAATTCCATCATTCTGACACCGATTAGAATCCAATAAAAATAAATTTGCACCCTTTTTTTGATGAATTCCTAAAGCATCATAAATAATTGAAATCCAATTTTAAAAATTCTCTGCTGACACTTTTGACGAGACAGGGTGACGAAAAAAAAAAACAGTAAAATGGATAGACGAGAAATAAATCGCGACAAAAATTTTTATTTGATTTTCATTCCAAATTGTGATTTGATTGAATTTCTACCTGTCATTTGCTAGTTGAAATGATTATATAAAAAAAACTTTTTTAATCCAATTATTATTTTATTTTTGCTCATCCAACACTCTCAATAAAATTGAAAAGAAAAATGCTTTTGACCTTCCATCCATAAAAAATTGCTGCGTGTCTGCATTGATGATTGGAATAAATTTTCTATTTTTTAATAAATTGTGGAGCTAGATATTAAAAAAATTGAATTTATTAAGCTTAAACTACATGATAGGCACGAAGTTGTCAACTCTAAAGATCCATGGTCCTATTAATCCAAGGATCCTCCTGCCTTGCAATTATTTAATAGACTTCAGCCATAAGTGTTGAAATGATGATTGATTGTTATTAAGTTCAATTCTTTGCCATCAAAACATCCATGAAGCCTTATTTTCTTCCTTTTCTGTGAAAATTTCTCATCTTATCTCAATTTATATCCTCAATAAAATTCAATTAACTGCAACTGATAAATATTTTTATTGCATCGTCCAATTGATAAAATCGAAAGGCAAGAAATTGCAAAATTTTCTGAGAAAATTACAAGCACAATATCCTTAACATTGTCAAGTGAACCATTTCTCAATTTATTTGCTTTTATAAAATGTTGTTTGCCAGCATCTCTTAATGGATAAACTCATTGAAATAGAAATTTCGATTTGAGTCCTTTTTTGTTGACATACTTTTTTGATATTAAAAAATATCTTTTAGAATTGTTTATGCTTCTTACTGATTGAATGATTTGTAAAGGGAAATACCAGGAAATTATTAGAAAGGATTTTGTTTAAGGCAAACAATTTATGGTGTAAGAATGATAAAGTAAGGGAGCAAAATAAATCTGGATTTAATATAAGATCGTAGGTTGGGGGTGGGGCTGTAGTTGGATTGTTTTTATGAACCAAAGATTGACACCTGAAAGATCCAAAAAGACCAAAAAAAGCAAAATCAATAACAAAGCAGAAGCATAGCCAGGAACTGGAAGAGAATGAAAAAAAAAAACAATTTGTATTGATAATTTGGGCTTGGAGGGGGGGTTGTGGGCTTGGATTTTTAGGATTTTTTCATTTTTAGTGGATATGCTTCCTCTGACTACGCGCCTGTAGCAAAGTAAGGAAATTTCAAACCCTCACCACCTGCCTGCATCCTCCGCCTCTTAAAAAGTCTCCAAAAAATACAAAATCTCTCAAAAATTCAATAAAAATGTCATATCAGCACAGCTTTACAGCACAAATTGTCCTCATATCAAAAAGTTTATTAAAAAATTGGTAAACATTTGAAGGACATCCATTTTCATTTCATCTTTATTTTTCCATATTTACAATGACAAAAATGAATTGATATGAAAAAGTTCATGCAAGCATGAGAATGTAAACACCATTTATAATGAAAAAATTCTGAGGACAAAAGCCTTTTGGTGATGTTTCAGTTCGTTCTGAAAGAACGAAATAATTTAAATTTTATTGAATTTTTCTCTAAAAATAGAGCTTCCATCTCGTTTCTAATGCAATGTTCAAATTCTATTCTAATTAAGGGGCCGTTCACTTATGACGTCCATGGGGGGTCAGCAAGAAAAGAACAATAGAAATTCCTGTTATTCCATTGTTCTTTTTTGTAAAATGACCGTTAATATCGGTCGTCATAAGTAAACGGCCCCCAAGCTATTTTAATTGATTCCGTTTTCATACCTCAATAACATCTGTAAATTCCACAACCCAATAAATTTAGGTCAATTACAAGTTAAATACGATTTTATTTTTAATATCCACAAAACAAATACATTAGAAGTGACATCTAAATCCTCATACCCCAAAAATAATTCGAGTCCATGTGTGAATATTGAATTTTTTTTTTTGCATATATCCACATGTGACATTAACATAACAACTACAAAAAAATTGTGCAATGCATTTATGGCATCCTGTAGAAAACTTTTAATTCCCTTTTTTTCAACATCACACGCCCCACAATTCAACTCATCGCTTCTCTCCTTTTCTCGTTTTAAATGTGAATGAAGATAAATAATACAATTATATGGAGGGAAAAGTGGAATTATTTTATGGAAATAAGCAGCATATGTTAATTATTGAATTTTAATTTTTTTTCATCTTTTGTTATTTCATGACTACAGAACGTGTGTTGTGAGATTACGGTGCTTATATTGTTATCGCTGTGAAGGAGAATAAGCCAGAGATGAAGTTAACTTTAGAATGAAAATTTATGGCCATAACATCAAAAAGATGATGTTGGTTTGAGCTTTTTATAATTATTTTTTAAAATTTATGTTGTTGAACAAATTAAAAATTCTAGCAAGTATGAAATACTTTCAAGTGTGCTAATCAAAAGCGCATTTTAAAACAATTTTCTTCATTTAGACCACGAATTCAGCTAAACAGGCACGTAACCAGGGGAATTTGGGGGACAAATCCCCCTTCTTCTTGAGAAATTTCTTTTTTTTATGAAAAACTCGAAAAAAATCCACCCCCCCCCCCCCCCCCCGCCCAAAAAAAGTTTTCCGTACAAAAAAAAATTTTGTCCTTCCCTCTTCAAGTTCCTGGCTACGCCCCTGCAGATAAATGACTCTAATTCAGAAATAAAACTAAGCTATTTATGCTTTGCTTAAATATCCTTAAATAATCCTTTATTTCCCAATTTTCAATCATTCAAAAATATCACAATTTATGGAAGCAGTTCATTCATAATAAAAATTAAACAGTTGTCGTCTTTGTTGAATATTGATTGTGATGTCCATCATCAACTTTTGTTACTGATGTTAAAGCAACTGAAATTGGTTGTGGGACAAAATGAACTTGTTGAGAATAGTTCCATTGTTCCTGATTATTGTCATTATTGAAGTTATGTTGGTTGTGATGTCCTTGATAGTTTGTGAATCCGTTGTAATTTTGAGCATAAGAAAGTACTGGATAAGCTGGTTCACGTCTAACTTCAGCATCGAATCCATCACGGTCATTGGCACGATAATTAACTGTACGATGATATCCATCAGAATCCAATATTGTGTACTGTCCTTGAACTTCATCACCACGTCTTGCTTCTTTGTGTGTCTTCATATCTCCGGTCATCATGTCTGTAACTGCATATTTGTAATCGTAATTTGAGTCATCATTCACATTTAAATGGCGAGTTGATGATGGAATGCTGACAAAAGCTGGCTGCAAGTGAATAACGACTGGAGTTTGTTGATGCTGATGTGGAACAAAGACTTGATTTACATTTTGTCGTTGATGTTGATTCTCACGAGCATGGTCTAATCGTTCCTGTTCATGATCTCGGATCATTTGATCATGCACAAGTCTTTGGTCATTCAACTGCTCAAGCTGGGATTGTATTTGTTGTTGCGTAAGTTCTTGATGTTCCCGAATTCTCTCATTTTGGAAGTTTTTCATATCAGTTTGCTGCTGCCTTTGATTCATCATATGTTCATGGAGATCAATTTGTGCACATGATGCTACTGCAACTGATGCAATGAAAATAAGAAGCTTAGACATTTTTCTAATTATTAACTTGGCGAGGTACAAATCAGAAATGACTTGATTTTGTAGAGATTCTGATGCTTTTTATAGTTTTAAGTTTGAATACTGGAAACAATTGTGCATAGCAAATTTCGTTGACACTTCTGTGCACAAAACCTTTTGATGCTGAATCTAACAAAAGATTCTCAAATTTCTCACTATCCTCGTCATTTTGTGCATGTTTGGTACTGCTTTTATATTCAAGTTGTATGATTTTATGGGATCGTTCATAAATGATGTCAAATTTAGACTAAAAGGGATATCACTGGATGAAATGCTGGAAAGAATGTCTTTAGATGCTGCAAATATTTAAAATAACTTCAAATAAAGATGAAACTCCAGCAAGTGACTAATTACTTAAAAAAATCGTGATTCTCATGTAAAAGTTCATACCTTACTAGATTAGACAATAACACCAAAATTTACATAAATTTTCAAAAAGTCATCCCTCATTTAGATAAATCTCCTGACCTTTCTCTTCATAAAACATCCCAAATCAGCTGTTTTCAAACTTCAAGAGAGGAAGTTCTCAAACTATCCCATGCGCAGACTCAACACTTCATAATTCCAGTTCTAAAAAGATTTTCCTTTTTCTCTTATTTTCACAGTGAAAAATTTCAGTTCTGCACGATATTTCGAGGAGCTCACATGCTGACTCAAATGATAAATCTCAAAAATTTACGAAAATAAAATTATGTCACTAATAATAATGAGGATATAAATATTTCAAGGAAGTGGAAGAAGTCCTCTTCCCTCATTTCACAATAATTACAGCTACCCGCACATCCTGCACCTCAACAAAATGAGATTTTTTTTTTGCTTACTTAAAAAATATTTCAGTCGACATTATTTAAGAATCAGAACATGAAAAAGGTACAGGAAGGAGAAAACGAAGAATCGATAGCATATCGAAAGAAATTAGAAATTCTATGTATGAAATGAAGAGAGAAAAAATCAATCTCAATTAAATTGCCCTTGCATCAGCACAAAAAAAAGAAATAAGTATATGTGGATGTATGTGAAATTCAATTCCATTATTTCCTCTTTTTTGTCATTTTTATTATTTACGGATATCGAAAAAAAATATACACAGAGAGGAAAAACAATGGCAATAAGAAGCTTTTACAAGCTAAAAGTAGAAGAAAAAGGTGTGTATGTGGAAGTGTATCAAATAGACATATCAAATCATATGTTGAGGACGAATAGCACATAAGGTGATGACAAACAAGACGATGATTATATTCGATAAGGTGCCTGCCAACAGCTGCATGTCATAAAGATAAGTCATATTGGATATGACATCTTATGAATTCACTTTAATTAAAGAAAATATTTTAAAATTCATCTTTTCAGTCATTGCTGTTGTCTTAAGCTCCTCAAGTCGTATCATAAAGACAATAAATAGATCTCATATAAAATCATGTAAGAGATTACATGATGTATGACACACAATATTCATTTAAGCTGTGTACACACCCATACCATGTATGAGTGAACAATTTATTCATGATGGAAAAGGTTGAGACACTTTGTAGATTACTTTTCCGTTTGAATGACTTTTTTCTGTTTATGATAAATTGTTAGTTCAGCTTTTTGGTATTTTTGGATCAGGAGAAATGAGAAGGAAAATTCTGGATTGGATTTAAGGGTCGTTAGCGAATGAGGTTTACAAAAATTTGGGTTTTAAGCAACTTTACGCGATCTTTTATTCAACTTTTATGTCTTTTGTATGAAATATCATAGCAACAGAGCTATCCCATACCTAATCGTAAAACATCACTAATGAACGCTCCCAAGTCATCTTTAATTAATCAACCGTGGAATTGTGTGGACAGTGAAATTTGGTAGACTATAGAAACAAATACCATTTTCAATACACTAAAATACCTCCAAGCTACAGACCCGTCTAAAGCTCCTTAATAAACTCCCACATCAAAAAGTGACAAGTGCCCAATCATTGATACAAGTAGCAAAAGTTTATACACACACAATAGCATTTTAAGGAAATTGCAAGGAAAAATAATTAATCAAAATGGATCAATTTGATTGCCATGTAATGGCATCATATGGCACATGAGAGATAAATGTGTAAGTTCATTAGGGTGGAAAATTTGTTCTTCTTTTAATATTTTTTCATGTTTCCCTCATCTTTAGTTTATTTAAGATTCTCATACATTCATAGTTGCTGTATGTTAACTTTCCATAAAGTGATTTTTAATGTTGCGGTTCCACATGTCTTCATCGTGTCAATTGGTATATGAGGTTTATAAATGTGTCATGATAACGTGGGCGTGTAGATGTGCGTGAATAAATTAAAGTAAATCGTAAAGTTTCAAATCTTAAAGTCGTAAATGCAATGTCATCGTGTTTGTGGTAACATGTGATTGACAGATTTATGGATATTTTAAGCAAGGATAGGGGGTATGAAGTTTGATTTTAAAATCCTTTAGCTAAAATTTAAGATCCTTAAAGCAGGGTTGTCCAAACTTTTTGTGCCGCGGACCGCACTTTTAACAACACTGCCTTAAAGTTTCAATTTGCATAAAAATTCAAGAAGTGAAATCTTTTTCTTGGCTAATTAGCTACAGCAAACTTTAATATTCCATTTTGGTAGCAATTTCTGCTAGATTGTGAGGATGGCAAGCAGTTTTCAACAACTTACTTGTTCTAGTACTTTTAGTTTCATACTTCATTAAACTTTTGCTAAAATTCCAGGAGTTATAGACATAAAATTGATTCTAAGACTCATTGAGACAACTTTTTCTTCTCTTTTCAGTAGCTAAGCATGATACAATCTGAACCTGGTACTAAGAGGTCTCAAAATCCATACATACATAAGTCTTCTGCATGACCAGCAACCCTAAAAACTCCACAATCAACCAACATCATGCAGTTTGTTAAAAAATATCATTTTGTTGTTGAAACATTACAAATCCACACATTCATACCGCATATACACAAAAGAAACTTTCAACAAACTAACATGAGCTTGCAATGTACCTCGTTATTACAATGCAATGAACAAATATGTAGGAATATTGTGGCTTCCATAACCAATATGCTTCATTAAAACAATGAAATTTATAATATAGAAGCGTATAAAGGAGGAAAATATGAAAACTCGTAATTTGTAGTCAAGTATGAATTTTCTGAATAGCAAGGAAGCTCTTGATACATTTCATCAAAGCCAACTGTTTTCAAATATGATGTTGTCTTGACTCCAAAAAATTTTCTCTTTCAAGGGATTTTTTAATTGAGAGAAAAATGTATTTAAAGTTAGAAGTGTTCTGCCTGAAACTTTTGAACTAAAGTGCTTACATATTGATGGAAAATAAATTTGCAATCCTTCAAAATTTACATAATTTTCTCCCTATCAAGCTTCTTAGAGTTGTCTAACATGTCATCACGTTTGCACAGATAACTTCATAAGACTCAACACGCATCAAGCATACCAAGGTAAGTAAGTGCTTGAAGCAAGTCTTTTTATGTACGTATATCTCTAGTTTTCTTATCTTACCTTACATTATACACTTCTATTGTTCCATTAAAATGTATCTTGTTGCAGCACAGTTTGAGAATCTCAAGTCTCAATTCAAAGGTAGAAAAATTATCTTCAAGTAGAAGTAAAGTAGCATATTGTGATGCTTCGTCGCTCGACTGTGTTGAAATATAAAGGATGAAAAACATAATGAGATGATTGTTTTTATTGCTACACGGAAAATCTTGAACATTTATAAGAACGAGGGAAACTTAGAGAACAGATTCGTCGTTCAGATGATTTGCATTCTTCGTTGATTGGTATACCTTGTCTTTGAATTATTTTCAATTATGAAGATTAACAATTTGTAAGCTTTTAATATTGTTTTGATGTAAATTGATGCTCGAGGAATTATTTGCTGTGGAATTTATGATCTTATGTCAATCTAATGGCAAAGTAGAGAGTAGAATCTATCCTGGGACTTGTTTCAAGTGCTACCCGAAGCACCCTACCCTCCTCTTACTAGAGTAACCTAGGGTGTCCCCCTACCCTACCTAGGTTATCCTTCTATGTCTTCTTCTATGGTCATTGTTATCAACTTTCAAGGCAAATGTTTTGAATTTGAGTTTTTCTATCAAAAGGAACCAGTCTTCAGGAAAGAAAATAATTTAAAATATCCAACCACAAGTCGACTCGGATTTTGTATGGAAAAGTCGACTTGAGTTCACTCGACTTCATACAAATTTCGAGTCGACTTCGCCCTCTGCCAACCACTAGTTCAGAGTCAAAAATCCACTTTTAATACGTAAAAAGTTAAAAATTAATTCAATTTAATTCCAATTAAATACTTACGAATTCAAGGGAAAAAAATTTGAAATTCCCACCATCAGATTTTTTAATTAAATAATTGTTCAACCTCCAAACTCAATTTTTGACTATCAAAAAATTAGAGAAAGTTAAAAATTTGTTGGAAAAATATCATCGTGAAAATTCACATTTTTTCACCCATTTCTGAGTCTTTGCTTTCTTTTCAATAATTATGAAGCAAAAACGAAGTAAAAATTCAGCTAAAAGAAAAAGAAGAAAATTTATCTGCTGTAAGCCATTTTTATGCTTCATACTTACACAAATTTAATTTAATTTGTTATACAAATTCTTACGATAGCAAAAAGTTGTTGCTGCGGGTGCTTAAAATCCGGTAAATAACAAAAACATTTTACATCCACGAGCAGCATAAAGAACAAAAAAAAAGAATTTTTTTTACTTACTCTGTCAAACTTCCCAGAGTATGTTTTGCTGAACCAAAGAGTTAAGCTACCCATTAGTTGAATATGCTGAAATGTCATAACATCATGCAGAGTTTATAAAGTGAAGTGCTTAAAAGAAGTGAACGAAGAAGACGGTTAACATGCATCGTGTGGGCGGATTTGAATTTTAATTTAATTTTAGCGCCAGCTTTTGCGATTCCTTTATTCACTGTTGACTAAGCTTTTGAAACAGTGGAGTCAGATAAGCTTAGGGTGTGGATGAAGAACGAATGCACAGTATTTTGAGGCTTGAAAGTGAGAAGAACTCGAAAACATCTTTTGAATAAATTTTTACCACAGTTTATCTCCTTGATTGGCACAAGTCGGTTAAGACTCAAGCACGGTGCTGGCTTCAATTTAAATCCAGTACCACGCCAGAGTCACACAGGCTTAGTGCCAGATTTCTGATCGTTTAAACGACTTGTACCATTCGGGTGACAAGTCAAAATCCTCTCAGCACAAATTTCCGAATAGAAAACATTTTCATCACTTACATTTTAGTTCCAAGAATAAGAAAAGAACTTGTCAAAGTTGAAATCTTTTTTTTATAGAAAATTCTGAAATCCCACAAAAGTCTTTTCAAAATTGAAACTCCCACAAGTCTGATCACTATCGATTCCATAATATATGCTAATGGATAAGTCAATCATATCAATGAATTTCTTGTATCGTACGTCAATAGTCATTGACATGAACATGCAGGGGAAATGTTGATAGAATTTATAGATTTCTTTTGGAATTTGCTGAATTTGGAAAAAGTTGATCGATTTATTGGATTAAAGAGTGAGAATTTGAGTGACTTTATATGTTTAATAAATACACTGGAGACAAAAACTTTTTAAAATAAATTTGAGGATTAATATTGATTAATATCACAATCTCATACCAAAATGCGGACTTAACCATTTTTGACCTCACAAAATAATTGGAAGCAACACCAAAAAAAGTCCCAACATCAATGAATCACCAAAATAACATTAAAACAAATTATTCCATTAAATCACTAAGACTAACCTTATTTTATCATTCAATAAGCTCTTTCGACCACTCTTCCAAGAAATCATAAATAATTCCCTCAGAAATCCAATAATAATTTAATTAAAAATCAGACATTAAGTCCGGTCCGATCCCTCGTGAATTTTCAAATACTTAATCTTTAATCATTCAACTTTGACCTATCATGCAAGAGGAAAGCTGTACGATCATTGAATATTATTTTCTTATACATCTAATGGATGGCAATGTTTAGAAATCCAACGCACGCTATCGCTTGTATTATAAAAAGAAACAAAGATTCTTCCTTCCCAGAAATAAAAAGAAACCATTTTTCAGTATGAATTATAATTTTGTTCCTTTAACAACAAAATATAAAGAGACGAGTAATGTTGAGGAGAATCTGATACAAGATGAGTGATGGAAAATAATTTTTCAAAAATAAAAAAGCTCGCGAAGATTTAAAATGAAAATATTTCATTGTTCCTATTTCTGTGCTTCATTCATTTTATTAACCCAGCATGTTTAATGTTTTCATTTCTTTCTTTTGCTCTTGTTTTTTGTGTCACAAATTTTTGCTCTCATAACAAGAAGGCATAAGACATGTCTGATTTATTAGGGAGACTTAAAAATAGCTTGGATGAGAGAAATTTTAATAAAATTATATTGAGGACTAATGGGAGAGTATTGCTCATTGTGATGGATTTATATTAGTTTCTATAAATGAACGTACGTGGGATTATTTATTAAGGAATTAAAGGGAAACGAAGGTGCTTTATTTTTATTTTTATTTTTGGGAATTTTTGTATTTTGAATGGTTTTATATGAAATTAGGTTTCTGATGCAGATTTCGACTTGAACAAGCTATTTAGTGCAAGTCCAAGCTACTTGAAGCAAGTACAAGTTACTTGAAGCGAGTACAAGCTACTTGAAGCAAGTGAAAGCTACTTGAAGCTATTTAAAACTAGTTTAAGCAAGTAAAAGCTGAATCAAGCTAATTTCGTCTCAACATAGTCAAACCAAAGTTATCCTGACTCAAAGCTTTCTCAAAAAACTAATTTCAGCTGATTCAGACTATAACCGTGATTCCAATTATTAAGCCAAATTCCAATCATCACAAGCTAATTTACTGGGTCTTTTTAAGCACACTCTCATACGACAGAAATAAAAGAATCTTAACAGAAAGAATATATTTTCCATACAAAACATCTCAACACAAAAGATAGAGACGAAAGGAAATTTGCTTGAAAATGAGGAAACGGCATAGGAAGCCGTGAAGCTTTATGAGTAAAGGAAAATTTCCATTCATGCATTTTCTCAGCGACAATTTTTTTCTATTTCTTTAAAAGCGATTATGTTAATAATGAAAATGCGTTTTTTTTTCTTCTCATTCATTCATTCCCACGCTTCTGTTCTATAAAGATATAAAATTTTCTCATTTTATATCTTATTTCCGTTCTCTCAGTTTATACACTTTTTTTTGTCTGTGTCACACCCCGTCTGACACTTAGTGCACAACTCATGAAGAAAAGTTATCACTCATCGCAATTTTCATTCATTTAGACGACTATGAACTCTTTTTGCGTCTTTATCATTGTCGTTTTGTGTTGGCATGCGAGAAGTTATGAGGTCTGAATGAAGATTTATTTATCAAGCACTTGACTTTATTAATGAGTCTGCAACATAGTGCAAGAGTCAATCGCCATTAAAGTGAGTTCATGGTTTACAATCAATCTGTCCAGCTAGTAATTAGAGTAAGCAAAGTGAGTCAGAATATGCAACAGAATAGTCGTTGTTTTACGTTGATGGATGTTGATGTTATCCATGGGACTATGGCAAGTCTCTTTACACAAATTATTAAAACAAAAGTAGTTAAACAGCGTCTCAAAATTCCATTTTCATAAACATCATTTTTATTTACCCCCGAAAATTGCTGGCAAAAAATATTATTTTGCAGAATGATGGCTTAAAGCAAACTTAAAGAGAATAGTTCATGAGAACATGTTAACGTTCTAATATTTTTAATTTTAAGAACGATGTTCTTTCGGGTTTTTTTCATTCCACAAGTCATTGAAATTTTTGAAAATATAACAATTGAACTCATTCTTACGGGACTATCCCATTCCGAAGCTGCGTAGAATACACGATATGAACCAATGATTGACGTATTACTCAGTTCTTCTCATTAAAAAATATTTACTTATTTGCAAAAAATTGGGATTCCCGATTTGTAATGATTGAGATTTTTGGGGGCATTCACAAATGGCGTTTATAATTTAAGAATGAGAGGAGGTAGGCAAGAACTTGTGTGAACCTTTATATTAATTATTTCTGTACGCAAATTCAGTGACATGATGAAATTTGACACCAAAACTTGCGAATAACGTCTTAAATATTTTTCTGAGAAGAATAGTAAGAATCAAGAGATTAAACTAATGAGAATTTATGTACAAAACTCGATTCTCTCAAAATAAAATTATTCACAATAAAAATCCTCTACAGAGTATCTTTTTTAGTCAATTCAAATATAATTTTCAAGGCGACAAGACAACAAGAATTTATTAAAAGTGATAAGACGAATTTTGTTTCATAACACAAGTGTCAAAAGTGCAAAGACTGCAAATCTACAAAAAAATAAAGAAATATTTTCTAAACTTCTTTTGATTATTAATAAGTGCTAATAATGTATCTTGCTGTGATTTTTTGTGGACTTTATATTGTCGGATTCACATCCGCACAAGGTGACAATTAAAAAATTATTAAAAATGTTGGTAAATTTTAAAATTTGTGTGTACTTTCAGTTGGATATGCAGGAGGTTTTGCTGGAACTGGAGTTGGATTCAACCCAGGATTTATGCAGTAAGGTCTTGATCAAAAGTTCTCATTCTTTAAAATCTAATTTAATTTCTTTACTCAGACCATTCCCAAATATCATTCCACCTCTAATGATTCCTCAACTTCCTATGCCATATTTTGGACCAAATATTGCATCCGGTCAGGGTGTAGTTACTCGATTTGGAGATGGAGCTGGTGGTGAAACTATTGTCAGTAGATTTGGGGATGGAGTTTCTGGAGGTGGTCAAACTGTTGTCAGTAGATTTGGAGATGGAGTTTCAGGAGGTGGTGTTTCAACTTCTTCAGTTAGCGGTTTTGGAAACGGAGCTGGCCAAACATTAGTCAGTAGATTTGGTGATGGAGTTTCAGGAGGTGGAGTCTCGACTTCTTCAGTAAGCGGTTTTGGTAGTGGAACTGGTCAAACAGTTGTTAGCCGCTTTGGAGATGGTCAGTCTACAACATATGTATCGGGTCCACAAGGTACTCATACATACAGAACATCACCACAATATCCAAATACACAAGTCTATCAAAATCAACCCGTAAGTCAATTTCCGAGCAAATAATTAATTTACGACATCGGAAATTCCGATTCATCAAAACATAACGTTGAATTATCAACAACTCATGATTAATTCCTTAAAATAAATTTACTTTATATGATTATTTCATCTCGCAGGGTCAAACAGTCGTAAATTCGCGTTTCAATGATGATGGTTCACAAACAGTATCGCAAACATCTACATATGTATCGCCGGGTGGTGCGTCACAATCTTCTTTTTCACAAACGTCTAATAGCGGTTCATTCACACCACAATCTGTAAATAGTCGCGGTGCTTATGCAGACAATAATGTTCAACCAATTGCAGACAATAGAGGTTATGCTCAAACTACTGGTGGTGCCGCACACACAAATTATCAACCACCTCAATCAACATCACGTTTCAGCGGTGGCTCCACACACGTTGCTAGCTCTGGACCATCAAATTATGGTTCTACATCCTCATTCACATCATCATCGAATGTAGATGGCCAAGGTCATCATGAAACTATTTCATCTGTTAATAATAATGGAAATGTACAAACTTATAGACAGAGCAGTGGAAAATAAACATTGAAGCTTGTGTATGATAATTTTATTAATTATTATTGTGGGTTTTTGTGGGATTTGTGATCTGGTTTCAAGCTGTCAAAGGTTAAATAAAGTTGGAACCGCAGTTTCGAGGTCTATCACATCACTAAACACAGATAAGACTGTCAAGGCAAGTAGATTTCACGAGACTTATTGGTGACGTAGTCATCCTTGGCCTTCAAATGGCTGCATTCCAAAAACCAGTAAATAACCACATCTTTTATATACGCTGGACATCCTTTTCCACTGCGATACCATTTAATTCTTCTTCCATCCACTACTAAAACTCGTTTGCAGAACCAGCAAATTGTCATTATTTTATTCTTATTGCTCATTCCAATTTCAGCATTTTACCTTTCTCATGTGCTGAAAGAGCAAAGCTTTCAAGCCACAAAGCATATTGCAATATTGATAAAAATTCCATTAAACAAGCTTTTCATTCTAACCATAAATAATTTGATACATCTATTTCGATTCCTTTCACACAAGACAGACGGGAGAGCAAAAAAAGTAGTCGAAAGAAATTGCAGAAAAAAGAGGAAAAAGCAAACACACCATAACCTGACCGACAAATCATGGAAAGATTGAGAAATAGAAAGCAGCGGAACTATTTTCTTCTTTTTCCGGTTTTCATATTTTTTTTTATTCCATTTTCATCTTTATACCTCCTCTCCTCTTTACCAATTATTGTTATTATTATTTTTATTATTGCTTCTGTTATTTTTCTGCAACAACAGCTTTCACATTGGATGAAAATAATGGCAATGAAACATATTTATCGATAAAGTTTTCGTTCTCTTGTTATACACATACAATATGTTATGATAGAATATGATATTTGCTCTCCGAATTGTAGATGGTAGCTATAAATTCCCTTTTCTACTCACCTGTGCAGTTTTTTTTTCTCTATTCTCTACATTCTATGTATGTCTGCTTATTGGATATGAAACAAAGCCTTTTTCTCATTTGTAGAGTCATGATAACTCATATTATTGCTGCTATAAGCATGAACATTTGATTTAAAATAGAGGAATGATGTTGAGATGATTGTGGGAAATTCTGTCGATAAGACTGAGTGCAGGGGATTCATATTTAAGTCTTAATCACTTTTGTTGATACTTTTTAATGTAAGTATTAGCATCAAAAGTATTTTTAAAATGCTGGACTTGATAATGTCTTAAACGAAGACTTTTATTGCGGCTACTGATTAAAAGACGTCAAATTTGCTTAGGGATGCCAAGCAGTAGACTTTTGTAGCATGATCGCTACATGTTTGCGAAATATAAGCTGCTTAATATCTTGAAAAATTTATTTTTTGAAGGCATTCTTAAATTTTGAAATTCAGAGAATCGTCCAGTCTAACAGGTGTTCCAGTCATCCAGTACTAAGCCTTATTATCAGCTCCTAATACCCAATCTAAGAATAAAATACTCTCAGATCTTTTTTTGTCATCATCCCAATCAAATTCTAAATCGAATCAATGTGTAGAATCATCCAGACAATGCTGTTAAAAAATATATCTCCAAAAAAGTATATCGCTTAAGCTTTTAATGCTCACAAATCTTTGACTCACCGAAAAAAGAGGAACTTATAAGCTCAGAAGAATGTTAGAGATTATTTCTCCCTTTAAATATGTCAAACTTTTCATTTTTTTCCATCCCCGAAGAAATTGGATCACGATCATGGAATTAAGTCAACTACCCCAAACTTATAATCAGCAATTCCTTCTTGGAAAATTTTTCTTTCCGCTCTGTGACAAGATTCATGCTGACTCATCAAAGAGAGAAATTTAATGTTAAGGAAGAGATTTTTTTCCCCATCTTCAGCAGAACCTGCTGTTTCTTTTGTTTCGAGATACAATATTGTGTGAAAATAAAATTCTTGGAAGGACTAAGGAGATGACTCTAGACCACAAGGTTTCCATAAAGTTTATCAAAACGACTTAATGTCTAAATCTTTAGTAAGGGTAGATGTTCTGTGCTTTGATAAATTGAAAAGGTTATGACTTCTTGTGTTGAGATGCTGTCTTGATTCTTTTGTGACATTTAGCATATTTTGAAAGGTTTTCAGAGAATCATGCTTTGCTGGTGAAACAGATCAATCAATGGACCTTGTGTCAGGTGTCAATTGCAATTACATATCAAATTAAGTCTCTTAGTTCACAATAATTTCAAATATAAGTTCTACAAAATGAACCAGACATAACAATCGTAAATGAACATTAAAAATAATGAACCAAAAAACTTCCACTTTAAAATTTTTAATTTACCCTAAAGTTTTATCTGAAACATGAAAAAAATAAAGTTTTACAACTGTGCTGACTCTCTTACTCCTACTTGCGTTACCTGGCATTTCTGTGATTTTTAATACAATTTGTAGAAAACTTTAATTAATACAGTTTGCTCTTTCTCAGTTCTGAAAAGAAAATTGCAACTTTCCAATTACTGCCCTAGTGTATCGTGCAATTAAAATCTTGTTTGCTCTCTATGACTGCAGAAAAATTCATTTAGTTAAACTTTATTTTTTCTTTTCGATTCTGCTTTTTAGATTGTTTTTTTTTTCGTTCATGCTGTATTAATTTTCCATAAAAATAAAGAATTAAAAAAGGTAAAAGATTTGAATTAAAGAGCGTCATGCTGTGGACAAAAATGCTTAAAAGATTTTCTAGAAATGTAATTCAATTTAATTCTCAATTTTGAAAGCAAATCACTTTTCAGTGAAAATTAAACCTCAAAACTTAAAATTGCTTGGAATTCTGACCTATTTGATGGACATCTTGAAACAAGACTTTATCAGTTTAGAACTTTCTATTCTTAATTCTTTTATTTTTAAATAAATTTTCACACTTTGAAAAATTCTGAATTTTCAACTTTGACATTATTGAATGAATAAGTTTGCACAAAGCTTTGATATTTATACACCTTCATGTGAAGGTGAGCACTTTGTAATTTTAAACTATTTTATTGAAAGGCTTTTGCAATTGACAATCGCGACTTCAAAGAAAATATCCGTGAATGTTAATTTAAGGAGATTACTTTACATTATATGAATGAATGAAATTAATTACCCCTTCGGCTTATGCATGCTGCGTTGACAATTTTAATAAAACGAGTTTTGAAATTTTTAAAAATGTTAATAAATTGTTTCACATGTTTTATTTTAAGAAATCTTTTTTGTAACTTTATAGACATAGACTCCATTTTTATGCAAAATGTGAATAAGTTTCAGATTGATTTGAACACACCTTAAAAGCAGGCCCGGAGAGCACAAGTCGGATAATCGAGACGAAATCCTACGCAAGGAAGATATAACGGCGACTTTAGGGCAAATTTTTCGTCATGACGAGAAATTCACCCTTAGATTGTAACCACGTCGCCCTAGCGTAGGATTTCATCTCGATTATCCGACTTGTGCTACTCGGGAGGAAATCTATTTGTTGATGTAAACAAATTACTTTTATACTTAATCAAATAAATCTTCAATTTCTCATCATCCACATTCATTTACATCTTCTTCTTTTCATTTATTCATTACAGTCAGCTTGTTACTCATAAATGGGCTCTGTAAATTATTGCTGTAAATGAATAGAAAAGTTGATTTCAAGGTTAATTCAAAATAGGGTCTACTCATGGTCTTACCTTACAATCATTCTTGAAAACCTTGCACCACTTACCCTCTTAGAATTTTAGAATAGTCTGTATCATTAAAATCCACAAATTATTCCACCCAGTAGGTTCTTCTACTCTAATAAGAATCCAACAAATTTTTCAACCCTGAATTAAATCAGAGAAGAAAGCAAAATGTTTAATCTCACTAAAAGCTTTCGGTTTGATGCTATTTTTTCCTTTCTCATCCCCCATCAAACACAAGTGTGTACATTGATAATGAATAACACAAGGGATGTGGGTCATCTCTGTACCAATAAAGTATTTTATGTGAGAAATAAAATGTTCAAAATGAAATAAAAATTTGTGATGCCAAACATTGTACCATTATAGTCAATTAATAGGCCATAACTTAGACACAAATGATAATTAAACCAGCTTTTTAGTTCCAAATATCAAAATAAGCAAAGACAAAAAAATCAAACTTTTTATTTCCTGATTTAATTTATGTATACATCTAAAAACCTTATCAATAAATTCTCCAACCATGATGTTCTTTGAAGTGTGAAGACGGTCGGCAAGCAAAGCATTTTTGTGTAAACACAAAGTATATCTTTCTCCGAAAATCAAAATATCGAGATTGAATGTTTAATCGAGAAAAGTAGATAGAAAGACATAAACCGCAACCGTCGACCTCAAATAACATCCACTATGTGAGGAGTTTATCCCCACACAATATTCTCTAATGAATAAATTAAATTAAATTAAAAAAAAAAGTTGAAAGGCACACTGGATGTAGGTGAGATTGAATTTATATAAAGTTGACCGAGAAAATTTGCCAATTCAATGAACCGCAGCGGTACATGTGGATGTGTATGTCTATGTCTCGTCCTTTTCCATTTTTTTTGTGCTACACTTCCCCTTTTTCATGAATTTTTCTTTTATGGCAACAAAAAAAAAACTTACTTCTTTTATGTTGAACGAACTTAATAAATAAATTGCATTGACTTTTTTTTGTGTGTACTGGATATGCTAGTATAAGCATAAAATTATCTCCTAATTAGAAAATGTGGAAGTAGATTGAGAAAAATAGTAAGATTCCGATGATAAGACCTGTAAGATAATTGAGATGGAACGATGTTTGCCTTTGATGAAAGCTAAATGGATGATGGAAGAAAGGGAAAAGCATTTAATTAATTAAAGCCGTTTAGTAGTATGACTGGAAGGTGCTGTGGGGCATGTTGATGTTATTCGATTTAGTTCTTTGAATTGTTTATCTTGTTTAGTTTGAATATAAAGCTCTAATCAATTGGCTTACCTTTTCGTTCAAACAAATATCAATCTACTAATCCATCGAGATAAACATTCTTATAGGTCAATAACATCAATATGTTTCAAGAGTAAACTTTGAACGGTTTGAGGCATAAAGTGGTTGGAAATCATTCATGCTTTAACTGGCATGTTGCGCTAAACTTACGTTAAACTTTTGGATCAAAGAATGCACTCCATATACTCAAAAATTAAGTACTTAAACCAACTTAAACTTGAACATGAATTTAGCGAGATTTACTAAAATCTAATTCAAAATTCACCAAATGAAATTTTTTCCTATTCTAATGACTTATGCACAATGTTCTGAAGTCAGTTCCTCAACTCTTAAGTTCATACTTCAAATTCAATTAACTTTAATCAAAAATTTGCCAGAAATCAAACTAAAACTGTGTCAATTGTAGAAAACAATAAATTACGTATTTTCCATCATTTTACAATTTAGCACCACAAGCTCGACACTACTCGACACAATCACAAATCATCAGTTAAATAAAATGCTCAATTTACCTTTCTTTATCAAACACTGATAATGGTGATGGCGGAAATTTGCCGGGTTGATAGCTGTCCATATAAATAATTGACCAATATGCCAGCACAAATAGCATCGAAATGACAGTTGCTTGCAATAAATCACTTGATTTTACAAACTCTTGTGTCTGCACCAATGTGCTATTCATCATAACTTGTATTTCCGATGCCACAAGCGATATCTTTGTTGAATTGATGATATCTGTAAATATTTGCAAGGTCGTTAGTTGAAAAGTGACAATTTTAGAGACTACAGCAGTGGCGATGATGTCATAAAGGTTGTAAATGAAATAAAATTGCTGAGGGAAAAACATCTGTTTTGTATTATTCTCAAAACCTACACATAGCAAAAATTGGAGAAATTAATTTTATCGTAAAGAAAAATTGTTACTGTATTATTTGTGAATTAAAATCTTAAAAGATTTACACTGCACGCTGTCGGCTGTGCTTGAAAGAAAATGAATTAGTAAGTCGCATTTTTGTGTGTCTGTCGACAAGCTGTCGATCAAATCAAAACTTCTTATCGTTTTACTGTGGATTGTAAAAGGAACAATTATCATTTCTAAAAATAATCAGCCTTTTGAAGTTAAATGCTCATATGGATATTCACTCTTGAAAGCAAGGTTAATACAATAACGATGATCTTTAAAAAATGCCATTTTTAAGACGAAATGGGGTTCGGTTTGTCTGAGTGAGGATTTACTTTGAATTTTGAAACTTATTCACAAATCTCAATCTTTACAATTTGAATCATCAATTTATTGGTCATTCAAGGATGCAATATTCATTTATTTATAAGCCACTTGATTGAACTTTGTCATTAAGAACTGATTAACAGCAAGCGCCACAATCACACCAAACCCACTATAAATCATAAACTCTTTTTCCGTTTTGTTTGTTCTACATTAAGAATTCACTTCAAATTATTTCTTCTTCAAACATTTTCATTGTTTTGTTTTTTCAACAAGGGAATCATGACTAGCTAACCGACTGAAGGGCGAGGCTACAAAATCATTAAAGTACACCATATGTTCAAATTAAACTGCATTATTGGGAAATTATCAACTTGTCCGCAAAACCAAATGCATTTTTATGATTCATAGATATACGACATAATTTTTGCTGCTTTAAGTTCATTGAGTTCACATTTTTTTGCACAAAAAAAAAACTCACCCATTCTTATCAGATTTCAAAGGCCTTGCGCTATGATTAATTGTTTATTTGATAAAACAAAAAAAAAATCTCTACTGACTTTTGATAAAGTAAAAATTTTACGATGTTTTCACTACAAAATATTGCACTGGAATGAAATTCTCTTCTTTTTTTCACACAGAAATTATACACACGAAAAAAAAATATTTTTAGATGCGATCGCTTACATTGAGAATAATCGAGTGAATGGAATGAACTATGTGCTATAAATGTTATTATTAGGGAAGCCGAAAAACGCAGTAAAATCTTTAAATAGTATTTATAGACAAGCAGTTTCCGTTTAAAATTGACTTTTTTTGATAGAAAGTCTAACGATTCGTATGCTTTATGTTGTGTATGCTCTTATAAATTGCGTAGGCACTTGAAAATAAGGAATTTAAATTCACTTTTTTCTCTCTTTTGTTTGACCTTTTACGGTATTAAAAAATTACAGAAGTCCTCGTGTTATTGATTCGCGCATTTTTGTGTTAGCGATCAGTATTTGATTATCAAATTATTAATTTGTTGCAATGAATTTCCATGCAGAAAAGGTTTATCATTTAACGGTTTTTTGAAATTCAGGTTACATTGAAAACAAAACAAAAATTCATTAATTATAGCATAAATACAATTGTTTCAAGACTTTTAAGCATTCGATGGGCCGATAAATCGATAGTAACGGAGATAATAAAACAAACGCGAGCTCTCTACGATGTCTGATTAAAAAGTTTTTCTTCGTCCGAGCAGCCGAACAGTCGAACAAAGTGTTTTATTAAGCTACCTTTTAGAAACAAGTTTCAAAAATGCGCTAAAAACATAAACAAAACCAACACATACATAGAAGTTATTGGATAATACATTCGATGCAACACTTTTGATTAATCTGAAAATTGCGTCACAACTGAAAGATTTAATAACTACTTTATAGTCACAATAAAAATGATTTTTAATCACTCATTACTGAAAAGCACCAACATTTGAAATTTATAATTTTCTACGTCATAAATAATTCAATCTCTTCTTAAATTACGTCATCGATTCAACCCACACAATCATAACCATGTATGTATAACATGCGGGCAAGTAAAGACTGAATAATACGTAACAACTCAACATAAAAATGAGTGAGCATAATTTCTTATTTACGGCTACTTACACAAATTCTAATTGGAAATTCTTCTGCCTTCTTTTTATTTGACTTTGTGTTGGTTTTTAATTTATTTTTCAGATGCTTGTTGAGAAATTTATGGATACTTAAGATTAATGGCTGACGTTCTTTTGATTGTTATGTATGATTTGGAATATATTTTTTAAGTAGTTGTTATTTATTGTTTACGGAAGTTAAGAATTATTAAAGAATGTGTGAAATTTTAGAGATTTTTATGCTGATGTCTATAATAGGACCGGGTTCTAAGGATAGAATCAAAATTCAAAGTACTTTAATCAATTCTAATAAAACTAGAACTAGAATAAATTTGATAAATTAATACAAAGTTTTTAATTCGAATTCTGATGATTTTTGTTGGTCAGCTTACAAATTCATTTGCGTAACATGAACCTTTGCACTCATATCGCCATCTCATTACCATAGCAATAGCCTTTATTTATATAAATCTCCATGAGTCATAACAATTAATCTGTTGAGAATAACTGCGATTACAGAATATGATTATGCTTCGCTCTCTCATAGAATTTCAGTCTACAAATTATCGCAATATAATTTTTGTTTTTCAGTTATTCGGTCGTCGGACACGCAAATGAATCAAGAAAAAAAAAATGAAAAGAATAAATTAAATGTTTTCAATCAACCAATTTATTCTAAATCGAAATTTGTTCGGTTTCATAAATAGTAACAATTGAGTGACAGTTGTGAATGGTTTATAGACGGGCAATAAAACTTTATTTGCATACAAAACAAGATTTCATCTAAGATAATGCAGGAAGATAATGAGACAGAGTCTTTTGGCTCTAATCATCAAGTGGAATCAGTACCTCTTACATCCACAGACGAGATGGGAATCTCAACGTATAGTTTCAAACTTGAGGATGCAATTGCAAAGGCAAATTTCGGAAAGTTTAACTACGTTCTTATCACCCTATCCGGAATAATTCTCACAAGTGGCATGCTTGACATAACCAGTATGGGAATGGTTCTTCCGATAGCACAATGTGATTTAAATTTAAGTAACTCACATAAAGGATTTTTGGGTTCTGTAACATACATTGGGGTGATTTTGTCGTCTCACTTTTGGGGCTTTGCTGCTGACACAAAAGGTAGAAAGAAAGTTTTAGTTCCAGCACTTATTCTGTCATTTGCAACTGCAACGATTTCAAGTTTTGCAACATCGTTTTGGTTTCTGGCTCTCATGAGGTTTCTGAACGGAATATTGTGAGTATTAAAGTTTTTGGGAGAGGTTGAGGGATGAGAGAACTAATTTAAGTTATAAGCGAGATTCAGCTGTATTTAAAACAAGCTACGTGTATGTGAGCATTAGAAATAATTAGGAAAATAATATCAGATTCAAGAGTAAAATACCAAGTAGCTATCATACAAAAAATATATACGCTAGACTCAAACCAAATCTAAGCTCCAAAGTTGACTTCATTTATAATCAACCTAATTTGAATATTTAACTTGTGCAATGATTGAATTTCCCAAATCACTCTTTAATTACATCCAATTTTAATCGATTCTCATCCTTCCCTCTAATTTACCATTCAACATAATGCATTACAACAGGAAATGAATAAATTAAATGCTCTAAAATGACAGAAGCCACACTATGACCTATCTCAACGTCAATATTTTCCAATTTTCAGCATTTGTGCATCACAATCGATTATTTATGCATTCATGGGAGAGTTTCATGTGCCGAAAAGAAGAGCGAAAATCATGATGTTAGGTGAGTAAAAGTTGTCTTGTACGAAAACGAGTGAATTTAAAAACAGTTCACGTTTTCCTTATCTTATCATTAAAATTTTAATGATCTGACGTATTTCCATGATTTTTCGTTTAGTCTGCAAGGTCGTTTATTGTATGTTGACATTCTGTCTACATGTGTCGACGCCTTTTAATTAAAAACAACCTTTTTGTTTGAACTTTACAAAGTTTCTCATATTACTCTATTATAAACCTCCTTACAGCATCTGTTGTTTATGGCATTGCATCGCTTATGAACCCTATTAGTGGAGTTGTTCTATTGAATTTGGTCGATTGGAGCTTTTACATACCGTTCTTGGATTTACAATTTAAGACATGGAGAATGTTTCTCATCGTATGTACGATTCCAAATTTAATATCAGCAATACTTTTGATCTTCTTAATACCCGAGTCACCAAAGTACACATTCTCCCAAGGCGATGAAGCAAAGACATTAGAGATCCTCAGAGATATATTTCGTAGAAATACAGGTAGATCAATACTCGAATATGAGGTCAAAAGCTTGATTAAGGATAAAGAGTTCAATGAAGCAAATTCTAAAGCATCAAAGGGATTTTTCAAATTCATGTGGACACAAACTGCTCCATTATTCAAACATCCACATATGAAAAACACAATGACTGCATGCTACTTACAATTTTCTATTTTGATAACAATCAATGGCTTTTGGACATTTTTTCCTGAAATACAGAATAAAACTTATATATGGATGGCAAATCATCCATCTGATGCTACATCAACAGTTTGTGGAATTCTTGAATCATTCCATCATAAAAATCAAACAGTTGCTGCTATTAAGAGCTTAAGTCACTGTACTACACATTTACGAATTGATACATTTATCAACATTACTATTATTTCCGTTTTGTACACAGTTGGATGGACTGTTTGTTCATTCATCATTGATTATACTGGAAAGCTTTTAATCATTGTATTGATTATGCTTATTTGCGGAATCTGTAGTGCTTTGATGATGTTTGTCAATATCCCAAGCATATCTGTATACCTTTATGTTATTTTACAAACGGCTGGTCTTAATATGACAATCATTAATTCATCGACAGTTGAACTATTCCCAACTTCATTAAGGTAGGTTTAATTGAGATTTTATTGACACGATCAATGTTGATTTAGTCAGCTATTTCATTTTTACCATAACTGTCAATTGACCAAATAATGGCAACAAAACATTTATGTCTATCTAATTCCACAGAGCCATGGCAGTTTCAATATCAATGATGGTCGGTAGAATTGGAAGTGCAGTTGGATCAAATTTCTTAGGATTTGCATTGGATAGGTTTTGTACTTATACATGGCTGCTACCTTGCGTATTATTACTATCAAGTGGACTTCTCTCATTCACAATACCAGACATTGGAAAGAGAAGAAAGCATGAGACAACTTCTCATACTCCTCAAATTAAAATGTAAACAAAAAAACAGTTTAGAGAAATAATGAAAAATCAGGTGTTTGTGCATGGAAGAAATGAGAGAACTGAGAAATAGTGAAGAAAGTAAAGCTATATATATCCACAAATACAGCTTCATCATATCACTATTGCATAATTTTTGCTTCTATACATTCACTTATCAAGCTAAAAATACACTACACGTGGTTTATTCCAACCGCATGTCATGTGGATTACCTGGAATGGATTCGATGATGTTCGGTCGTTCTGCAATCAGAAGTAATTTTAAGATGAATTTGTAAAACACAGAAATTATTATGTAAGAAAGTGAATTATGTGACCTACATAGTGAATCATTACTGCTTTCTTCGCATGTTTGGAAGCTGTACTCTCTTTTGGGTCATTTTGACTGCTCGACATTGTCTTTTGAATTGGAATTAAATAATTTTAGAATCTCTTTTAATTTTATGAAGATTTTAATTTAAAAATTAAAACTTGGACTTAAAAACCTTTAAAAATTCAATTGTAAATTATAAACTGATAAAAAAATGCGCTTCAGACTGCATCTGACCATCCCATTACTAGCTCTCCTCTCTGTTTAATAACACTGGAGCAAAAAAAAAGTTGAATGTGAGCTTTTTTGGTGTATTGTAAATAGGAAATCTATAAAAGCCACTGTCGATTAAAGCAAAACTTTTAGTATTTTTTTGAAATTGTTAAGATAGGTACACGAAATAAAGAGAGTGATTTTTCTCAGATCTTAAGTGCGAAATTTTCTCAAAATGCGTGTCGTTGTGATATTAATAAGTATATGCAAGATCGCACATGCATCAATATTTCGTAAGAATTTCTCGAACAATTTATTTTCAGTGAAGTAATAATTTTAACTTTAACTTTAGCTGCAGATCAAGAGAAGTGTCAATATGGTGATTCAAAGTGTATTATAAGAGTTGCTAATAATGTGATTAGTAAAGCTAGTCAAGGTGAATTTTTAACTTAATCTTATTGTTTATTTTAAAAATAAATGTGAACATATGATACATTTCCAGGATACCCTGAGTTGGGACTTCCAGTTTTCGATCCATTAAAGCTCCGTTCATTAGACATCGAACAAGGTGGGAATAGTCCCGTAAATCTTAAAATTCACTTAAGGAACTTTGAGCTCATTGGACTATCAAATACAAAGTTTATAAGTATTCAAGGCTTCAATAAAGACTATGACAATGCTAGAATGGAGCTTAAATTCAATATACCATCTTGGCAGATTTTCGGTCCATACAAAATTGATGGACGGGTTCTTATTCTTCCAGTCGCAGGTAAATAATAAATTTTATATTGTTTATTAAGATGCAATTACTGTAAAGTGTAGTTATGTACTGACAAGGCAGTCTCCGAAACATTAAAAATAAGCAGGTTTATATGTCACTGTTTTAATCCACTGAACAAGTTGTTCAAGATATGTACCAAAACATTGGATAATGTCGGTGAATGTTAATTATGTAAACAACTCATTTTCGTCTGATTTGCAGCTTAATGTTTTGTTTAATTTTGAGATTTGATTTAGTTTCTTGTTTTGAGTAATACAGTATTTGTCAATATAAAAAAATGTTAAAAAAAACTTTTTAAAAAACACGCTTTTATCAAAAAGACTAAAAATCAAAAAGTTTAAAATAAAATAAGGTCACACTTTTAGCGAATCAGGATTTTAAAAATTTTCTTGTGACAACTAGAAATGTAACATAAATTTTTTTCAAAATATTGTGATTAAGTCCAAGAACACAATGACTCTAAAAGCGTGGGGCGTAATTTAAGGATGAATTTTTTGGTTCAACTAAGTTCTTAAGTAAGAGAAGCGTCAAATCTCAAAGCCCCACGCTTTTCGAGTCATTGTGTTCTTGGACTTAATCACAATATTTTGAAAAAAATTTATGTTACATTTCTAGTTGTCACAAGAAAATTTTTAAAATCCTGATTCGCTAAAAGTGTGACCTTATTTTATTTTAAACTTTTTGATTTTTAGTCTTTTTGATAAAAGCGTGTTTTTTAAAAAGTTTTTTTTAACATTTTTTTATTTGCTCCTTTTTTGGTCGCTTCGTTTTTATTCTCAACAACAGACTTAACTTCAAGAAAAAAATGTTATTTGTTTTTTAGTCTTCGGGAAAAAAGCGTGTTTTTTAAAAAGTTTTTTTGACGTTTTTTTATTTGCTACTTTTTAGTCTCAATCTTTTAATCGAATTTCGACCACAACAATTCAAATTCAACTCCACTTCGTTTCGTTCAACTTTTAATATATTCCCATTTTTAGTGGGTAATTAGTAACGACTGTCAGGATTTTTCATTCGTTTTTATAATTTAAGTCATACCTGGAAACACATAAAACTCTTCCAAAAAATGTCCTGAACTTCAATTATGTGCGTTTTCTGTGTTTTTTAAAACACTCATGAGTAAAGAACATTAAAAATCAATCGTAAAGATTTTGTGTTTATCCGTACCATTCCTATTACATAACGTGTGGATTCTTAACATAAAGATGCAAATCACATCTATATGTAACGTATTTATAACGGATTTTTCAAATTTAAATTCAATGAATGTCATTCATATGTTATGCAAAATTACGTTAAGCCGATAAATTATCGGCGATAATAAATAGAAGTCAATTTAATTAAATTGGTGAAGTGCTATAAATATTGTAATACATTTAAAACAGCATACGTTTATGCTCAAATTATGTGTGCTAAATGCACATCACATATTGATAGTTATTTTGCATTAATTCGTAACGGACTTGTGATTAACGGTTTTTTTGAAAATTCAAATTTTCACTTACGGATATTCATGAAAAAATTACTTGTTAATTTTTTTTATCTTCCCAGAAAATCTTCAGCTTCTCCAATTATTAGTATTATTAATAATTAGTAATATTAATTAAACTATAGTGAATCATATAAATGACTTTTGAGCATTTCAAGTATAATATTTTAAACAAATCAAAATTTTATATCATTGACATTGGATTTTTTTCCCATATAAAAAAGTTTTATTAAAATTGTACTATAATTAAGCATTTGTGTGGTTCTAAAGTGTTAAAATATTGTATTGTCACCGGGAATACGTGTGTATACAAAATTTGAGCTCGATTGGAGCAATAGAAGTGGTCGAAAAATCGATTGCAAGATTTGAACGTGACATACAAAGAAACCAACAGAGCAACTCAATAAAAAGCGTGTAATTAAGCATAGATTTTCTAATCAAATCATTTATTGGTTAAATGAAAGTTATATTTTTGAAATTCTTAGTATTCCAAATACAAGCTAGTCAGAAATGTCTCAAAATATCATCAGCAAAGTTAGTGCAATAGCTTCAATATGGAGTAAACTCAAAATACTTGTTAAATCTATCGAAAATTTGAAAAATTTCAAATTTTTAAGTTTTATATAAACGTACGTATTTAAACGTAACTAGATACTTCCTTACGTCATTTTGATATGTAAGATTCCAAATGTATTCAACATCATAAGCTTTTGCAAACTTGATTGGTTTGTGTTGACTAATAAAGCAGCAGTAGCACATGTAAGCACACCATAAGATAATTATACCCTTGAAATGACTTAATTTAACTGCCATTATTTTCAATCAATCTATAAAATTGCTATGCTTAAATTGCTTCAAATACTTTATCACATAACGGAGCAGTAAAAAATAATAAACCAATAATAATTTTGATTTCTTTATTCACTAACGTAGGAAATGGAATAGCAAATTTGACTTCATGTAAGTTGTTGTTACACATCATAAAACTTTCAAAATATTATTAACTTTTCTTTATGCCTTTAGATAATAATGAGATTACGATGAAGTTGCTGACGAAAAAAGTGATAAAGCAAGGAAAAGAGTATATGCAAATTGAAAAGTCTCGATTAGTCTACGTAACTGATAGAGTCGCATTTGACTTTACGAATCTATTCAATGGTAATAAATTACTTAGTGAGACAACAAATCGATTCTTTAACGAAAATTGGAAGCAAATTCATGAAGAAATTAAGCCGAAGCTGTACGAGGCAATTGCATCAATTTATGAGTCGCTGATTAATAAGGTTTTTGCTGCTATCCCATATGATGACATGTTTATACAAGGTGGAAGTGCTTAGGCTGTTTTAAAAGAACTTGTACCTTCCTACAGCAACTTTAGACATTAATCGTTGGTGAAATGAACAAAAATACTCAATTGTACTGAATTTCTTACTCAATAAGTCTTATATTAAGTAATGATTTGCTTTTATGTGAATGTAAAAGTACTGACTGTATGATATTTGATCGTGAAAAAATTATTTTGGTAATAAATATCTCATTAAATTAGAAAATTTGTGTAATTAATTGCGAACGAAACTGACGGTTGAAATAACGAACTTTTTAAATTTAAAAACCCTTGTAAAAATTTACGTACGTCAAAAAAACGTAAACATTAGATTGTGAAATTCAACGTGTACAGAAAAAAATTTAAATAAAATAAAAATTATTGAAATAAAAGAAATGACAGAAGTGGAATTAGGCAAAGAATCAAACACAGAAGAGAAGGAAGATATTGTGACTCCGTGGGATGTTGAGAGTAAGTCATTAAAATGATGTAAAAAGCGATTGAAATTTCTCATCCAGAAAATTACTCAAAAAGGTGCCAACGAAACAGGAGTTGATTATGAGAAATTAATTAAGAGATTTGGTAGTTCAAGGGTTGACGATGCACTGATTGAGAAGCTGGAAAAAATAATCAAAAAGCCAGTCCATCATTTTATCAAACGAGGAATTTTCTTCTCACATCGCGATCTTCACGGATTACTAAATGCCTACGAACAAGGAAAACCTTTTTATTTATACACCGGTCGTGGACCGTCTTCGGAATCTATGCATCTCGGACACTTAGTGGCATTTATTATTACAAAGTGAGTAGTTCTGGATGTTCAAATGGGTTTACTGGATCTAATTAAAGTGGCTGTAATAATTTTATTGACATTCTATAAAAATCCAATTAGAACTTATTTTTATGCCATTTCGCAACATGGGAATCTTGTTGTTAACATTTTTTGTTGATAAATGTCATAATTTAGTTTTGTGCATAAATTATTAGTTAAAATAGATAAAAGTGTATATTGTTCGGTTCTACGAAACAAGCCAGGATCATCATACCCAGCATTTGTATAAACCTGACTCCTGCTAGGCCTCAATTGCACGGAGAGCGAAATTTATAGAATTTGGAATTTCCTTTTCTGCTGTCGGTTTTCTGATCTTTTCCAGCACCAAACATTATAGGGAGTCAGTGTTTTATATTATTTTACATCGATCATGTCTGCTAAGTATCAACACCAGCCACAAAAACCACTTTCCAAGAAGAAAAATCCTGTATTAATTAATGAACAAAAGGAAGTGAGCAACTTTGAGCTGTTTCAACTTATCGAAATGATGAGAGCTGAGAATAACAAGGGATTGATTATCTGAATAATGAACTAGGCTCCAAAATAACAGGAATTAGATTACTAATGTCCGATATGCAGAAACGAATCGTAGATTTGGAAACTAAATTACAGAAGGCTAATACAAAAGCAGATGAAGCACTTAAGTTGGCTTACCAAAACAAAGCAGCAATAAACATGCTATTTCAAAACAGACTTCAAAATAAAGTGGAAATATCAGGCTCGAGCATCAACAGCACTCTCAAAGGCGAGAAACTCACAGTAAAAGTCAAGGAGCTAGTTAATTCTTTCGAAGTTGCACTAACCAATAAAGAAATAACACACATTCCAACGCCCTAGAAAGGGTTCAGCTGCACCTGCCGTAGTGATCGAATTCAAAAGCTTTGATACAAAAATGAAGCTTCTTAAAGCAAGGAAAATTGCGAAAAACAGGAAAATTTATTTGGATAATAGTCTTACTCCGTTGAACCGCTTTTTGATGATTAAAGCTTTAAAGCAACTTTAAGTAATAATGATGACGTATTACAAATCTGTGCAAGCAATGAAGAGCTTCTTGACCTAGTAGACGACTCTAAGCAAGTAAAATCAGACATTGTAATACTCAAATTCATTAACAAAAATGTGAGTAAAATAAGCTCCTTCATTGGATCAATACATTGCAATACATAAGCTATTGAGTGAAAAAAATATAGTTATTAAAGGTGTATACATAAAAGGAGAGTCGGAGCTCGTCGGAACTGGTCGGAGCTCGTAATAATTCTCGTATTCTAAGTGACAAAGCAAAAAAAGGAATTTTAAGTAATGCTTTTGGGAAGTTTAGCATTGTTGCGATGAATGAGATAATCTATATGATTGTTGTACCTTATATCAATGATAAACTAATCGACTGCCAATCCTCTCATTATCCATACGGTCTCTGTAATGGAAATATCATAAATCTAAAAGCGAACTGTGTTAGAGAGAATCCCGAATCAGTAATCCAAAAGATCGTCAATGAGCTTACAAATGGAGTGAAATTTGAGAATATCTATGAAGTCAGAGTTGAAAAATCATCTCTAACTGAACTGTCAGTTCGTGTTATAGTTAAGACTCAGCATATGACAGACAGTTTAATCAGGTTATTGAACTTAGTATTCGGCTCATTGACTTTTTGTCCCTCAACACTTCATTTTATTCCGGAGATTCAGACCTGCAAATACTCAAAAGCTTTAAATAGCTCTCTGAACGCAAAGCAGCTTTGGACAGCCTTGACCAAGATGGATGTTTTGATCTGCAATTGTATAAGCAAGCTCTGGCAATCAGGAGAAAAATTCCAAAATCTGTGACTTTGGCTAATCCAACTGGCCGTATCAACTTTGTTCCCCCATCATCATCAGACTCTATCAGCACATCTATTTTCAATAGACTTGGACCGAAAATACATACCCGGCGCCTACTCGAATCAACTGATCCACATACAATCACAAGCTCCTATAGAAATTTAAGAATCACTGCTCGATTCAATACGTCATCCTCCGTGACAGCCTCGAAAGTTAGATCTGGGCAAAAAAAACTAATCCAATCAGCTCTTATCTTTGAACTCAATCATCAGTTATAATGAAATACTTAAATCTCTGAATTTATGAAATAATAATTAATTCAAGGCGTATACACTCGAAAAAAAAAGTTGGGATTTTTCGGGATTTTTGGGATTTTTGTAGAAAACCTGGGATTTTTTGGGATTTTTCTGGGATTTTTATGGGATTTTTAAAATTTTAAAAAAATTTAATTCCTTTTATGGAATTAAAAATCTTGAAGATTTGCTCTAAAATTTTTAAGAGAGTTATTTCATGGTATAAAAACTTATTCATCATCAATATAAATTAATAGTTTTTACATATTCTGTTGGTAAATCCTGTTCTGGTTCACTTGTGTAACAGAATAACTGCTAACGCTGTAAAACACTTTTTTGTGTAGTTCCACAATTTTTTCATTATCAACATAATAAGCTGTCAACCTTTAGCTCTTAAACTGTCAATTGTTACAAAATCTCATAAAATTTTTTTATCCTTCTTTGCCTTTTTGTTAGAGTAATTCATATTTAAAACTCTTTCTGTTCCCGATATTCCATTTTAATGTATAATAATATGATCACCACGTCCTATTTCCTTTTCTTCCCAAATCATTTCCTTTTCTGATACTTGTCAAAGTTATACATCTTTTTTCTATATATCGTTTTCAGTAATCATGATTTGTTTGCCTTGATAAGTTCCTATTAATTAAGAATTTGCTTTGGAATTATTCCTTCAAAAATTTATATTTGTTATTATTAAGCCATTTGGGAATTGATGAACATCTATATCAATTTCTTGATCAACGCCAATATTTGATGTCTTGAATGTAACATTCTTACCTTCTTAATAATCTTTCAAAAGAAATTCAGAATCAATATCATCTCGTATGTTGATTGCATTTTGCGAATCTTCAGTAAGTAAACTCATATTAATACGTTCGATTACCATGCCTAATTCACGTACTTTGTTCTCCGTAAAAAAAACTGCAAGCTTTAATGCATTATGGGGCAAAATTTAAATTTTTTTGTAATTTTGTGGCTGTTTGAAGTTGAACAAGTGAAAATTTTGATTTTTTTCATTAAAACTGAAAAATCTCTTCAATAGATAAAGATATCAAAAAAAAAGTTTTGAATTCTTCAAAAGTATCAAATAAGAGCTTTATGATGATGTATTATAAAGATACACTTATGCTAGCAAATGTATGAAAATCCATGGAAAAATATCTTTAAACGTGACGCAACCATCGTAAATGACCGACTTCTATCCTAAAAACCATATATCACCGTGTAGCTCTTGACTTCTAAATCCAAAACTGTATTCAACTTTGGCTTAATCAGGTGCAAAATAAATTTATTGTGATTTTAGTGAGTCGTCGAATATTTTTGAAGTTTTCTAATGCCTAACGTTATTTAAAGATGAACTTTGAAGAAATTTTTTCAAAAAAGTCAAAATTGGTCGAGATATAGGGTACTTTTGATATCTGACGACTTGTTTGTTTTTTTCTTTACTCAAACCACCAGTACTCTTACAAAACAAAATATTTTTTAATTCAGTTTTCATTTTATTATAAGTTAAATCAGTACCTTTCAAATGATGTATAAAACTTGATAGTTAAGTTTGATCTTAGTCATGAAAATGAGCCTGGTTTGTGACCGACCCAAAACGAAGAAAAATTTCAAAAACGTCATTTCCAGAAATATCACTTAGAAACAAATTTAAGTATTGATTTCTAGTTTTTTACAGAGGGCGAAGTCGACTCGGATTTTGTATGGAAAAGTCGACTTGAGTTCACTCGACTTCATACAAATTTCGAGTCGACTTCGCCCTCTGGTTTTTTATGATGATTTATGATAGTTATGACTATTTAAACTCAAAAATTTACATTTCATAAACTTTTTGCTATCTCAGGTAAAAGGTAGCTTTTAAGGTATGACCCTAGTAGACGTTGATATTTTATATTAAAACACATCTGAGACAAAACACATTACTTTTATATGGTTACCCATCAAAAATTTTTCATTTTCGCTATTTTGTTAAATTTCAGCTTACGTCGGTCACATTAAAAACTTTTCCATAAGAAGTATAAGTTTCATACAAATTTTATACACCATTTTAAAGGTACTGATTTAATCTAGCAATAACCGAAAACGGATTGCAAAATATTGATTCTGAATAAAGTTATAGATATTTGAGTGGATCAAAATGCATACAGAACTGCAACCAGCATAGATAAAAATACATAATTTGAAAGTTACATGCTTTTTTGGCAATTTTTTTTTGTAATTAGGATAGTATTTTAAGATTTTTCAAATTCTTTTTTGTAAGATTTTAAGCTATCAAGGACACAAAACACTTATGTAAAATGGTAAACTGTATCGTTGTGTTGATATTGGTTTCTTCTACATGCTTTAATTAATGAATAATTATGAATTCTGAAATTTTATCCAAAAATTAACTTAATAATAATTAACAAATTAAAACTTTATCATTGTGCATGCTTAATTTACCTTAAAAGCACTTATTAAGTACCATTTAGTAGAAAAATGAGGAATTTTAATTAAATTTCTGTACAAGTGCAACGCAAAAACGTTTATTTTCCTAATCCGCGAACAAAATATTTCAAATTTTCCTTTAATTAACAACTTATTTTTTGATTAGAATGTTGTTTATGATATATTTCTGCTTTGATTTTCTGGGATTTTTCGGGAATTTTTGGGTTTTTTGGGATTTTCTGGGATTTTTTGGGATTAATCCCCAAAATCCCGAGTGTATACGCCTTGAATTAATTAATATTTCTTTTAAGATTGAATCTCTTTTTGGAACTATGCAATAATTTTTTTTTATTTTTATTTGTTCTCTATGATATTTACAACCGGTTATGGTTTAATAAACTTGAATTGAATTGAATTCAAAAGTTTAATACAAAAATGAAGCTTCTTAAAGCAAGGAAAATTGCGAAAAACAGGAAAATTTATTTAGATAATAGTCTTACTCCGTTAAACCGCTTTTTGATGTTTAAAGCGAGAGAAGTTGCAAAGGATAAACACTTTAGTGTCTTCCTGAGTGGTGACAAAGTTTATGTCAAAAAGGATTATGCAACAAAACTAGCAATAAATGACATCAGCGACATTTTGGAATTCAATAGTTGGAATCCTAATCCAATCGACATAACACTTCGCCAACAAGAAACAAATACTTGATTCAAAAGTCAAGTTCAAAACTATTGTCTAAACCTTTATTCTGCTTTTTTGATTGAACTTACCGAATTCAAGAATCAATTTATCACTTATCTATTAGCTTCAATATTACATTCTTCAAAAGAGATCTTCAAGGAAGCTTACGCATTGATCTCTTTTTGCTTAAATTTTAATTTAAATGTTTATTTTAATTATCTGTTTATATGATTTATTCAAACAGTTTAAGTACTGTTTGAGGAGGCTTTTTCCTTTCCAAAAGGAGTGAGGAAGGAGGGAAATAAATAAATAAAACATTCTCATTATCTTACAGATGGTTCCAGGAAGCTTTTAACGTTCCACTTGTGGTTCAAATGTCTGATGATGAAAAGGTAATCTGGAAAGATCTTACTGTTGAGGAAGGAATTAGATTAACAGTAGAGAATGCAAGAGATATTATTGCTTTAGGATTTGATCCTGAAAAGACATTCATCTTCTCAAATCTATGCTTTATGGGGTAAGTTATTGTGTCAAATCCTTTAAATTATCATGCCTGACAAGAATTGGATGAAATTTCACATCCTTATTTATGCTATTCACAGCCAATGTCCAGAATTCTACAAGAATATAGTCAGAATTGAGAAATGTGTGACATATAATCAAGTAAAAGGAATCTTTGGTTTTTCGGAAGCTGATAAATTAGGCAAAGTTGGATTTCCAGCTGTAGAAGCAGCACCTGCACTGTCATCAACCTTTCCATTTATTTTTGGCGATAAGAAGCGACAAGTATTAATTCCATGTGGAATTGATCAAGATCCATATTTCCGTATGTTAAGAGATGTGGCACCGCGTCTAGGATATCCAAAACCAGCACTTATACATTCAGCATTCTTCCCAGCATTACAAGGTGCAAAATCGAAGATGTCAGCAAGTGACTTTAATTCTGCAATTTTCCTAACCGACACAGCTGATGAAATCTCTATGAAACTTAATGAGCATGCATTTTCATCGGAAGGAAATTGTGATGCTGACGTTCCTTATAGTCTCCTTACATTTTTTATGGAAGATGATAAGGAATTGGAAAGAATACGAAATGCTTACAATTCTGGTCAAATGTCGAGTGCAGAGATGCGAAAACTAGCTATCGATTGTTTGCAGCCATTCATTGCTCAGCATCAAGAGAAAAGGAAACTTGTAACAGATGAAGTAGTGCAGCAGTTTATGACAGTGAGGAAATTGAAATGTTAAACTTTTTTTTCTATCCAGGAAATGAATTAAATAAAAATTAAATTAATGCTTTCTGCAAGACAATTTTTGAGTGTCAATGACATAATTGAAATGTGCTGCAAATACTTTCACTACTCACTGAGCTGCTCTATTAATTTTATCCAATAAACGGAATGTAAAGAAGAATGAAATTTTATCGCTGCAGGAACTGTTTTCTTCTTTTGTATCAGTTTTTCAATGCAGATCAATTTTCATTGAGCTAGAAACTTGTGCTGATGATAAAAATTGTTTGAATGGGAATTTAAAGTATACTTGATAAGCTTTAAAGATTTAAAAAGTCATTTAAACTTTACAGTGAACTGATTTTGGAGTTTTTACTTAAAATTGTGAACACAGAATAAAAAGTTTTTCTATGTCTAGCCATCAATTGCTTATCAAAGTCTTTATTGAACATTTAACAATCAATCAAATTTTCAGAAAAAAGGTTTTAAATCCTAAAAGTTACGAAACTTTATTAAGCAGAACCAAAAAGCTTTCTACATATTAAACTAATACTTAAGCTCTTTAGCTAAGTCAATAAAAGGAAAAATTCATAAAAAGCGCATAATAAAGTCAAACAACCTATAAAAGCTATGGATAGGAAAGGAATGTAAACAGAAGAAAAAACTTTTTCCCATAAAATTGCAGTTTCTATGTTTGAGTTTTAGATGTTCATTAAAATAAATTTGCTAAATGTCTTCATTGAAACTTTTTAAAAGGATCATTAATGGAAACAATAATATTTAAATTGTGAGAGGAGGAAAAAGTGGATCAAGATTATAAAGTTTCAAGTGATTGATTATCATTTTAGACTTTCATTGAGTTTTGGGTTGAGGTAAAGTTTGATGTGCATTAACAGTTCGAATTATTACTTGTTGGAGCCTTCAATTTGTGTTGATTTATGATAAACACTTTAAAATTGACGTAAATTTGAGTTTATTTGGAAAATTTCCAGAAAAACAATTCAAAATTGAACTGAATCTCATTGCTAAAGTTGGACTACAATCATTTGAACTCAAATGAACCCATAACAAACTAATTCATCAAATTACAACATTTTAAGAATCGAAAAGATTAAATAAACATGAAAAATGCTTCCTCAAGTTGTGGCCTAGATATAAATTTCGCTTATGAATAAATCTGCTTAATTTCTGAATCAGTTTTGAGTTTCCTTCATACTGCTTCTGTTTAACAAACGTTATTGAAGACTCTTCTTTGGTTTATGACTTGATGATACGTTCTAAAATACTCAAAATTTCCAAAATGAAAAGATTTTACAAGTTTTGAGCAAGATCTTAAAAGATTTGTGTACAAATCCAAAATATTAAAAAACTAAAGTCTATAAATCACGAAAAACCATAATCTCAACCACTCAAAATCTCAACCAGTCACAATAATTCTTAAAGTCGAAAATAACTCGAGCAGAAAAAAATTGATTCAAAAATAATTTGAATTAATTTTCTGTGCGAAAAGCCGCAGACACAAAAAAAGTATGATTTTAAAGTTGGCATCTCGTGAATATTCCAAAAAAATAAGATCTTTCTAACCTTTTCGTCGACACTGATGCTCCGCACATTCCTCATCTTAATACTTTTTTTCTTCCTCTTGAGTCCTCATGAATAATAAACTTAAACTTCTCAGCCGCCCTGAGATTATTAAACAACATTTCTGACACATTTTCCTAGTCATTCATTCACAGCTTTTAATTTTTTTTGTTGTTGTTCATTATAATTCGCTTTATTCTCGTGCCATTCAACTTATTATTATTATGCCAAAAGCCAGCATCTAATTAAAATTCATTCAAAAAAAAATCATCATGATTGTTGGCACTTTTCAGCCTGAAATGAGCGACAAACACGAGTGGAAGAAATGTAAATTTCTTAATTTGGTAGTGTCATAAGAAATATTTAAATTCTCCTTCGTCGCATCCTCGTAATGGCGATGAATATGCTTAATTGTTACTTAACATCAATGTTATTGTCTGTGGAAGAAGGTGAAGAAAATTTTAATTATAAAGGGGAAGAAATTTTCATCTTTTTTTATTTTTATTTTGCTCACTTAATGGCGACAATGGCAATGGCAATGACAGTGAGGACTTTTATGTGGTGTCATGTCGTTTTAGACTTTCTGAGGTTGGAAAAATATTTTGCGAGATTCTTTTTGGAAAGGGGCCATTCACTTATTACGTAACGCTTTTAAGGGGGGGAGGGGGGTCTAAGATTTTGTTACGGTTCAAACAAGGAAATTTTTTTTTCATACGAATTTTGTTACGAGGGGGGGGGGGGGGGGTCTAAAAAGTCATTTTTTCGCGTTACGTAATAAGTGAACAGCCCCAAACGTTAATTTAATTTTTAAGAAGGTTTTGCAGAAATTTAACCTCAAAAAGTAAGTTCAAAACAAAGTAAAGAACACAACTTGAAGCTGTTTAAGTAAGCACAGGTTAACTGCGAGCTCTGGAATGAAGTTGTTTCCATTAGACTTTCAGTATTTAATATTGGAAAAGTCAAACTATTTGACAGAGTTGGATAATATTAACTCAACTGATATACTAAGTACGAATCATTTAAATAAATTACTAGAACTATTTAACTATTATGCGATATTTTCATCGCAGATTCAACGAACAACCTTCATCAAAACAATCATGAATCATCAATCAATATCAAATTAAAAGTAATTCAATTACATTCTTTTGAAGCTGACAACTCATCACAACATCAAGTCATTGAAATTCTCGAAGTAAAAATCCTGAATTCACAATCTATATTTTGATTGATCAATTCATAAATTATTCTGAAAAGTTCCCACGGTATCAACTTATTTGCCCATTTCCAACGAAACAAGAGTAACTTTCTTGGAATGTATTTTCTTTAAATAAATGATTTTCTCATGTGAACAAAGAGACGTCTGGATAATATTCATGAGCAAAGTTATAAAAAAAAGAACTCTTTCTGCTTTTTATTATATATATATATATATATATTGCTATTTTTAATATCATCAACAATATGAAGGAGAAATTCCTCTTTTTCTTCATCTTCTTTATGGTTCACATCAGTCTTTTAAATGTGAAAAACTGATTATTTCATCTCTTACGGGTACGAAAATTGGTTTCTTTGAGCTGAATAAAAAAAAAATCATATTCATGTCGTAAAAACTTTTTATTAATGGGAATCATTTACAGTGCGAAATTACATTAATTTAATTATCTTGTAAGTTGAACAAACGCACAAGAAAACTTGAAGGATGATTATTAATATGAGAATTTTATTGAGATGCTTTAAATTATATTATTTATGATGAGAAACTGTTTAAATTAGTTGAAAGCTATAAAACTTAAATTTACATGAATTTTAAAAGTTTAAAAATAAGGTTTTTTAATTCAACGGATTTTATAGATTTGAATTGTAAGATTGAACAAATCAAAAAGTTGACAAGATATTTTACAAATGATTCAATCATAGCTACCTTTAATTAATGTTAATTAATATTACAATCAACATCAATTCACAAATGAGCTAGTAAAATACCGTTTTTATTTGTTTAAAATGTTCAAAACCCTTCAAAACAAAGGAAAAGAAGATATCTACTTAATTAGGATCATCTGTATCATTTAAATCTGTAAGTAAAATTAACATTGAATTACTGAATAAACTTCCACAACAAATAAATTCAATCTCGCTAAGGTGAGGCTGAACAGAATTTATTTGACATAAAGAATTGCGTTTTTGCGAGAAAAAAAAGTCAACATCAAAATGAAAAATTCCTCATTTTTCTTCTCTCTATTTTTATTTTTGGAAGAATTTATGAATCTGTTCTAATTTTAAAATCCTCACGATCGTGAAATTTTTCATCATTTCAAATTGAAAAGAAATGTAAGTGCGACTATGAAAACAAGATATGGCGACAGGGTGGAATACGATGCCACAAATCATAAAATCTAAGGTATTTCTATTTGTGGAAATATTTGTTAAAGAATTCTTCGTGGGTTGATAGGAAACCGAAATTATTATTTAGGGTGACAAAATATGTCATTAATGGTCTAATTACTTCTTCTTATAAACTTCTGAAACACCAATAAATATTAAATTAATTGAGGCTATTAATTAAGCATAAGAATTCGACAATTAGCATCTCCAACATAACCAATCATTAGTGGTAATGAGTGATAACGAGGCAGTTCTTGAGAATACTAATTAAATTTGTATCAATGGCATTTATTGATTGCTATTTTGGTAATTTTATGAATTTGATGTTTTAATGTTGAATGCATTTAACATGAATTAATTATGAGGGGGGCAACCACAACTTTTAGGTCCATCTTCTGGTAAGAAGATATAGATGATTCTTAGCAGTTTTGTCGTAAGTCAGTTGACGACATTGAATGAACTATAGCCTATTTATGGTCCAAATTAAGTATGACAAAGTATATATTGCTAGAAAGGTCTCTATTTCAACTATACGATTCCGCCATTTTTGGAATTTTTGAAACGGTTCTATCGGTTTTGTATCGGTTCAAAGTCAATGTAAATTGAACTGCTAATAACTTTTGAACAGAATGGTAGAAATTAAAAATTCTTTTTGGTATTAAGAGCTTGTAAAAATAAACAGAGGTTTTAAGGGTTTTCAATTTTTTCCCATGAGTGTTATATCATTTTTGAAGGACCCAAATTTCAAAATTCAAACGCTAATAACTCAAGAACTATAAAAGATATGAATATGCAACTTTTGCTGATTGTTTCACTTTTTTATGTAGTTTAATTAGCAGGAACTGAATTTGGGTCGCTTCATAAATATTGTCTCAACAGTCAAAACATTAAATTTTAAGAATTTCTTTCACTTTTTTCTTTAATAATTTGAAATTTTAAAACAAATCTTTTAATTCGATCATAATCAACATTAAAATACCTTTAAACGATGTATCACATGTTAGGGGTCTGTACAAAAATTAGGTCAAAAAATAATTTTTGACATTTTTGACAACTTTTTTGAAAGATTTTTAAAATTCCAAAAACAGATTTAAATAGCATTTTTCAAGACCTTTTCAACGATATATATTTTGTATGCCTTTACTTGCA